TGACCGGTGCCCTACCGTCGTGAGAGCTCCATCTCGCCGCCGGTGCAACCCACCCTCGCTCACCCATGGCCATTAAACCCCGGTCCTTCGGTCGTCCCCCATTGCTAGGTCCTCCCTCTGCGTCCAGTGGGGACGTTGTCACAGAAATGGACCAGCCTCTGCACCAGATCTGTTCTCCATGGAGGGTCGACGGCCGCCTTCTCAGGGGGCGGCGAGCTGCTCTCGGCTGACGATGAGGTGATGGGCACGGGAGAGGGGCACGACGTGGGTCGTGGAAATCGAAACTGACGAGTCAATAGTTCGGCACGTATGCAGGTGGGCCCATCGGTCAACGGACGGGTTGATGCCTTCGCCAGCCCATTAAAAGACCCGGTGTGGACGACATTGATGGCCGATCTTCATTTACTCCTGCGGAGCATGGGGAAAGGACTCCTCGCCCCTTCCTCCTCATCCCCCCCCCCGCCCAGTGCTGTTGCCGCCAGAGGATGATATATTCTTACTCCTCAACTGGGTTCAAAGAGAGAGAGAGAGAGACCCAACTCCTCCCCCACGGACGGACCGAACCAATCACAAGAGAGAAAACCTACCCAAATCACAGGCCACGGGATTGAAGACAAGGCCCATAGTTTTCAACCCCCAAATTTAAATAATACCATTGAATGCAAGGACCCATTTAATTTCTCCCATGTGGGTTGGTTTTTTATCCTCATCAAGTGGTCAACGAATATACAGCACGCATCCCAAAGGGAACAAAGCATGGATTTTGGTGAGATGGGCCAAGAATGAGACGACCATCTAATGCAAGCGCTGACCAATGAGAAGGCCAGTTCCTCGTGCAGAAACTAATCTGGAGCTATTATAACAGCTATGGCAATTCAATGAAAAGATGATCTAAACGGAGCTGATATGGTAAAAAGGAACAACAGCAAATCTGACAGAGCTGGGTTTTGAGTCTGCATACCACAGAGAATCAAAAGACTCGCGTCCAAGCACAGCTCAGAGAGAGTCCTTTATTTGAATATCAAACCGAAATCTGAACAGTGTTTTTGGGATGCATAAGCTGACAAAGGAGAGGCCCAAAAAACGATCAGGTCCTGTTTCGTCCCAGCATTCAATGACTCCCCCCGCAGCTGATGCACACAGGAACCAGAGTGAACGGCTGGAGGTTCGAGTCCCCCCTGCAAAAGAAGATACAAGCTCAAACACAATGACCCAATAATCACACTCTACAACCATTGTACCCTGCAATGATCTTCAAATGATTCATGACTAAACAAATACATTAAATTTTCCAAGCATTTGATTTATGGAAACAATAAAACCGCTCATTGAAGTTCCACGCCGCCCTTATTAAAGGGTTCTGTTTGATTTGGTGTCGCTGTGAGATCTGGATCAGATCTTTCAGGCATCCATCACCTCCAGAAACAAAGTAAAACTGAAAACGAAGGAAGAAAACCACAGATGACAACCAATTGATCAGAGGGTACTGTGTCTTTCCTCATTTAAGCTTGTTCCGGCATCAAAAAGTGCTGAGTTATTTTCAGTTATTTAAATAGTTGTTGTGTGAAAAAGCCTATGCAAGCCCAAGTTGACTGTCTCTTCTATGAAAGGATTTAAACATAACCAACGATTCATTTTCCAGAAGCATAAAAGAAGGATAAACATATAGATCCCTCTAACCATTTTGAATTCAGATAAAGATACTACAAGGAATAGTAACCGATCCAATAAATAAATCCAAATCTATGGAGTTTCCTGAGGTAATTTACTTATCTTATTAATAATAATCAATTATTTCTTCTATAGCTAGAACGGCCTTCACAAATTGCAGACGGTAGTTTGTCAAGAATCAATCGGATTGAAGCGATAGCATCGTCGTTAGCGGGAATCGAAAAGCCCCTCAAGTCAGTTAAGACAACTATATTAAATGGAAATAATTTATACAAAAGTGATTACCACTTAATATAATTGTTCCTAGACGCCTGCCTCGTCTAGGAACAATCCCCTACTAGAATCAACCTAAAATTCGTCGTTGTCAAGATTAATGTCAAAATTCAGGATAAGCTTTTCAGACCTATTGGACGGGCAACAAGGACAGATTTTTGCCAAGAATTCTCACATGTAACAGCCCAACTTCATGCAAGGGTTCATACCAATCCAGTGCCTTTCGGCATAAAACCCAGAAAATTAACTTGGAAGGATCAAGAACAGTAGGATGATGTGTACTACTACAAAACAGAGAAAGTAAAGTTTGTCGGAATGAGAAAAATAAGGCCCTCTTAGCAATGGACACATGGGGATGAAATATGGACCTCAATATTACACCGCAATAGACGACAGAAAATGACCATGAGCGATGCTTTAAACACTGACCAAGGAGGATGATGCTTAACCATGGTCGTGACGAAGTTGAGAAACTCAAATTTCACATTGGTCTTCCATTATCATTATGGACGTCTGAGGTAATTTCTATTCCATAACGCGAAAATGCCTCGCCTTACATAACTCTCGAGTACTTTCTGTTCCATAACGTGAAAATCACAGTCTCATAGAAAATAAAATGCCTCGTCTAACAGAACTCTTGGATAAACGATGGACCGATTATAGATGAAGGTCAAGATGATTGACGGCCACTAGGTCATTTACAAGACCATTACACTTGGAACGAAGCAGGATAAGGGAAAGCAACATAAACGAGGAGATCTCGCATGACTCCCTAATTTTTATCATTTGATTTTCCTGTACAAGAACAGCTTCACTTTTACAGACGAAAGATAAGTTAATAATTAGCTATGACATCCTATTATTCCCGTCACACGTTTCCTTTTAGATACTGGACGGGCATAATATTGTGAAGCAAAACAGTTCAAGCATTGTAACGTTGCCAGTCGACAGTAGGCAAAAACACAAAATAAATCATGGATCATATAGAACATATGAGAATCTTCAGGATCAATTCTTGAGATCAATTAATGAGCAGAATAAATTTTAAAATTAATTTGAGCATGAGGGCATCTGAAAAAAGAAAAGAAGGGATTAGAGCAGGCATTACTCTCTCAAACCCAGATGATAAACCCGATTTTTTAACAGCATAAATGCCATCAAAATGGGAAAAAACTACCCAAGGTAAAGGCCCAGAAACTTTATACGTAGAATAGTTAAAATTTTATAAGGCTTCGAAAACCAAAAGAAACAGATCGCTATTAAGTGACTTATCCCGGACGGCAACCGTTGTCATTATACCTTAGCTTAATTATTACGAAAAATTTAAGGCAAACTTCTAGAATGACCATGGTGCCTTTCAAATTATACCGTAAAACTTGTCTCAGCACCTTTTGGGCCAGTAAGATACGAATGAAATGATAGAAAATCTTTTCATCAAATAACCATGAACATCAATAATTTAAGACAATATCCTCAAAGTGCCTCGATTCTTTGGTCATGGAAATGTACACTGACTAAATCTGAATCCAGGGAAGTGCAATGAACATTCAAAAATTAATTTAAATAAAAATTGGTTAATTTAAGCTCATAATAGAAAATTTACTTTAAAGTAAAAATATATATTTCTCAAAAAAAAAAAAAAACTATTCCACGGCCTAAAATTCTAATGAAGCTGAAGAATCAAATCAGAAGTGCATTTTCTCGAGAAATTTAATTTCTTACATTTGCATTTCTTCAAGCCCCAAGGATTCATAAGAAATTGATTAAATGGGTTAGTTTAATAAAATAATCTAACCTTGCACTTTAATTCAACCCCGACTGTAAAAATGTTTTCCAAAAATTATTGAATTAAATTTATTTTCAATAAAGCAGTATGCGCACTCATAGAAAAACACCTAATAATCTTTAGTGGATGTCATATCTCATTCATTAAAGTAAAAATAGATACGTGAATTTTTCTATGTCCAATTGAATGATCAACTTTTTAATTGAAACCAGACATATAGATTGAAAGAGATAAACTAACGTGGTTTATTGGTAGGTAAATAATATAAATTTCTCATATAAGTTAAGATAAGATTAAGGCGAACTATTTTTTTCAGATGAAAGAATAGCATTTAGCATATATCCGTTCATTTTGGTATGTCTTATAGACGTACAGTTATCTCACACATAGATGTATGGCACTGTTTCTTTGATAAGATAGAGTTTGAATGTATGTGAGAGAACAAAAAATCCTAAAAACAAATGTTAAAAAAAATTTAAATGACGAACTCCATAAGTGGGTATCAAGTCAAATTATATCTTTCAGACCTAAAATTCCAAGGACACTCTTTCTTGACTCAAAACTCGTTTGAGAGGCTACTTTTTTCTCTTGCACCAACAACTTATGACACACAATTGCTATAGGCGTCAACCAGGAATGATTCAGATCATTTGAACTGAATCACTCACCGGTAAATGTAGAAAGAAAATCCATTTTGGACTGAAAACATATGGATAATGCCACAGATGGATGAACTTAGCACCAAAGATCGAAAAAAATCATTACTGTGTTAGCATTTAGGATTACAAACAATGGTTGTTTGTAAAAAGGCGGTGATGCAAAAAGGTTATTTTGCTACATGCGTTATGTTCATGTGAGAAAACATTTCCAAGTCATGATATCCTTCAGATCACAAACCTCCGAGCTGTAAGGCAGCAAACAGACGGCAAAGTTATCGCTCCGGTTTATGTTCTATTCTCAAGGGTATGCATATCCACATTCGATATGTGATAAGTATCACTGCCAGAGGTCGGTTGAAGCAGAATCTTCCCCTTGAAATAGTGGAAAACCACACCAGAGGGATTTTCAGGTGAACGAGGAAATTTTATTCTACCACGAATTGGAAAAATCCTCCAAAGCAAATACATTGCTTGCGAAAACCTAACATACCTAGCCCTCCAATAACCCATACAAAGATCTAAAGAGCCACACATGATCTTAATGCGTCTATTAACCAAAAAACCACCCGAATAATCCTAAGACATAGAGAGAAAAGAACCGACCTACCAACCTAGGCATTGGCCGTTGAGGGGATGAGAGGGACATCGGCCGGCTGTTTCTGCTTCTGCTTTAGCCTCTCCTCCCGTTCACGGATCTTCTGCATCTGGAGGAGCCTCTCCATCACAAGCTCGTACTCGCATTTCTCATAGGTATGGCGCTCGCTCTCGCACTTCCAGGGGAGGAAGAATTCGGCAGACCGGCATTTGTTGAGGGGAATCAAGAGGTGGGCACACTGATCGCGGTAGGGTATCGGAACCTTCGCCTCTACCATCTCCTCCTGCGTCGCTATCATCGGCTTCGAAGAGCCCAGCTTCACCTCCTCCAACTCCGCCATCACGCCCTCCTCACCTCGCCCCTCTTCCCCCTCCTGGATCGATCTCCCCTGGTTCCCTCTTCCTCGCCGTCCCCCACCCTTTCTTTCCCCTAGTCCTCGCCTCGGCCCACCCACTCGGCCGAGTCCGACTCGGCCCTCATGCCATTAACCCGGTGGCCGCGCCGTTCTCGTCTTCAATAATTTTTCCCCCATTTACTGACCTTTTACACGCATTTTTTGGTACAATTATACAGATAAATAATTAAAATTCCCGCCCTATAAATAATTAATTCCAATGTTTTTTCGAGATTAACAGCAGGAATTCGACCAAAGTTTTTGCAATGCGTCGGTTTTAATGAAAATAATACTGCACATTTTTGCCAAAAAATAGTCGTCACCAAAAGCCTAGAGTAATGGGCTGAACCCCCGCTGCTTCTGGGGAGACGGTGGGAGGAGACGGCGGCGGGGAGAAGCTGGGCGCCTTCCTCCGGTGGGCGGCGGAGGCGGGCGTCTCCGACGAGCCTTCGCCCTGTTCTTCACCGCCACCGTCTTCTTGCCTCGGACAGGCCCTGGTCCTCTCTCACTTCCCGGACGCGGGCGGGTAAGGATCTTCTTCTCCTCTGCTCACCGTCCTCCGTCTCCACGCGAGATCTCAAGCGTTAGAAGATCGCCATCTGCAGACGGGGGCTGGCGGCGGCACGGGACCTCGAGAAAGGGGAGAGAGTGCTCAGGGTGCCGAAGGCCGCGCTCTTGACGAGCGAGAGCGTGTTGGCGGACGAGACACTGGCCGCCGGCGTGAAGCGGCGCCCGCAGCTCTCTGCGGCGCAGGTACGGCTTCCTCCTCCCTAAGCAACATCATTCCCTCCCATCTTTCCTGAAAAAAGGAACAAAAAGGCTTCAAATATCCTTCTTCTGGTTGTCACCGTGTGTACATATCTGTCGACTTTCAGACGTCATAAAGGCCGTTGCTTTAATCCTAATTGATCTAGTTGTTAGCCCCCTCGCGCAGATATTGACGGCATGTTTACTGGCTGAAGTGGGGAAAGGGAGGAGTTCTCGGTGGTACCTCTATCTAATGCAGTTGCCGCAGAGCTATGATACCTTGTCGAGCTTCACCCAATTCGAGATCAAGTCTCTGCAGGTTTTGTCGTACGTTTCTCTGATTCGGAAGCCAAGAACTTCGGTTTTCCGTTGCTGGTTGTGATGAAACTGAAGCATTCGTGGGTTCCTTCCCTATCAGGTCGAAGATGCTATCTGGGCTTCCGAGAAGATTCCTGCAAAGGTTCACTCGGAGTGGGAAGAAACCGTCAGTCTTATGCAAGAAATAGGAATGAAGCCTCGGTTGAGAACTTTCAGATCTTGGCTGTGGGCTTCTGCAACTGTGAGTGGGTTTGTTTTCTGAGTAATCTGAGTCAGTCTCCGCCTGCTTAATCTAATATATTTATCTTCATCTTGCTGTTCCCTTGCGGAATTTCAAAGATATCATCTCGCGCGTTACATGTACCCTGGGATGAGGCCGGGTGCTTGTGCCCCGTCGGCGATTTCTTCAACTACGCTGCACCTGGAGACGAGTCTTCCTCTGAAGATGCAGACGAAGAGACTTCAGCTGAAGGCGCTGCCTGGAATTCTGAAGCTAGTCTCCGTCAAAGGTTAGCAGATGGTGGCTATGAAGAAGATGAAGCTGCTTATTGCTTCTATGCGAGGAGGAGATATAACAAGGGAGAGCAGGTATCTACCATCTTTTACCAGTTCGAGTAAAAATATGAATTTTAATGTTGACAAAGAACAGTTATACCTCTATGTGATCCGCTGCTCACTGCAGGTTCTTCTGTGCTACGGCACATATACAAATCTTGAGCTTCTCGAGCACTACGGATTTCTCCTGAGCTTAAACCCGAACGACAAGGCCTTCATACCGCTCGACCCGGGCATGAAAACCTCTAGTACCTGGCCAAGAGACGCCGCCTACGTTCAGGGAGATGGAAGACCCTCTTTCGCCTTGCTATCCACTCTGCGCCTGTGGGCGACGCCACACCACCTCCGAAGGATGGTCGGCCGCCGCGCTTACTCGGGACTGCAGCTCTCAGTGGAGAATGAGGCCTCTGTGATGAAATGGCTCACGAACAAATGCCAAGCAGTGTTAGATGAGCTCCCCACGGGACCGGCAGAGGACTCTTCGACGATGGGGATGGTGGACAGAATGCAAGAATGCTCTTCCTGGGAGGACTGCGTCGGCCTGGTGCAATCTTCCGGAGGCGAAATCCGGGAGTTCCTTCTGGCGAATGGCTTGGAGGAAGACGGAGTTGCTGGTTCTCCGTTGCCGGGGAAGGTGAAGAGATCAATGAGGAGGTTTAGATTGGCGCTGCAATGGAGGCTCTGCTACAAGAAAGCGCTCCTGCAGTGCATTTCTTACTGTAGGGATACGATTGATACGATTTCATCTCAGCGTCGTTAGTCATGCGGTCACTGAGGCAGTAGAACTCCCACGGTTATTTGTGTGGGATAATACTCATGTATTCAGTCATTAATTAAATTCTGTTTCTTAAGGATAGTATCAACGGTTGGAAAGAACGGTTTGCCTGATCTTCTATAATTCTCAATGAATCCCATTCGTCGGGAAATGAATTCAGAGCATTAACAGTTGTGGACTGATTTCAATCATGTATAGGAGAAGAATTCAGGGAAATAACCCAAAAATAAATCCGCCAAGTAAATTAGATCATCAAACAAGGATTTCATTTATTGATGCATTACGAGGAAGAGCTGGTGAAGGGCTCAGAAACCAGTCGCGATCATCAGACCCTTCCAGAGCTGAAGTCAGCGACGTAGAAATCGTCCGAAAAAATGCTGAGCAGAGCTGGGGGGGAAACCTTTGCTATTAGAAATCATACGAAGAACGGGGCATGGAGAAGTCGTATCGCGAGCAGCAGAGCGGTTCAGAATCCTGGCTTGCATTTTCAAGTCCTCCTAGGAGAAGATGAAATGACTGTTTCGCACAGACTAATCAGCGTCGATCAGTTGGGGAAAGGATCATCACTACCGAGAAGACGGCCTCAGAGATGTGAAAATGCTAGCAAAGCTCATGCGTGCTTAACAAATCACATAAAACCAATCGAAAATAATGAAGGAAGCGCGGATCGACGAACCAAAATGTCCTGACAAGGAAACGTGAATGTAGAATGGTAGCGGGGTTCAGAGTCCTGGCTTGCATTCTCAAGTCCCCCGAGGAGAAGATGAAATGACTGTTTCGCACAGACTAATCAGCGTCGATCAGTTGGGGAAAGGATCATCACTACCACCCGCTGGTAGACAGTGAAGCTAGGGATCAGCGGGCAGATCTACGAATCACATGAGCCAATCGAATGGTTTCAGTTGAGCACAACATTTGCCCATCCATGCCTTCAGAGACCACGACGTAGACCGTTGGCACCTTGCCATTCAGGCACGAACAAGGACGATTTAACTTTCGCGTCGCCTCATACGCGGCAGCCACAGAGGACGACCGCCGGTAATCAGTTTTACGACGCACAACGATGTACAAAAGCCGAAATCATCTGCCGAACAAGGCCAACAAGAGAAGGGAAAAAATGCGTGAAGAGCAGCTGCCTTCGAGGGGGATTTCCGTCAGGCAATGCCGGAGAAGCCGAAACTGCTCCGACCCGGCGCCGCCACGAACCCTAGACAGACAGAGAGATGACCGGCCATCTGTGTGAGCGCACGGGGGTATAAATAGAGGTCACTCGCTCTTCACATCGGCAAAAGGCGCGCCATTCCCACGTGCGAGGTATAAAGCTAAGGTCTTTGGTTTCAGGCGCCTTGTGTTCTCAAGGTAGATCGTCATCTCTCGTCGCACATCACAGAGGTGTGCTGTGGATTGCTCGGCTTCGAGTCTTCCCCGGATCAACGGGAAATAATTCCCTCCAACAATGTCGTGAGTGTTTTACTGCGTTCATCACAATCGTGAGATTTCTGATTAATCGTGTGGATGTATTGACGGATATAATAGAATGATTCAGCCTGTTCAGAGGCATCCCGCGATAGTTTTCGCCCATGCGGCTGCGTGTTGGCCCGGCAATCAGGGGTTGTTCTTCAACGCCTTGAAGCTGGGGGTCTTGGGCGTGAAGCAATCCGCAATGGCCCTGCAACGGAACGGTGGGCGGAATCAGCTGAAAGACCAAACAAGCGCAGCCGAGTTTCTTGCTGGATTTAAATGGGAGCCATGATGAATCCTCACTTTTGGATCCTCGATTGGGTGCGTCTGTGAGGCAATGTGGACAGAAACGTCAGCGCAAGGAATCACGGAGGTACTTGATAACCATAGAGAGCAGCCGAAGGCAGACTTGCCTTTGAGGAATCCGAGATATGGGCACGTTTCCTGCCGCCGCTGCTGGTGATGGGGTCTCACTGTGTGCCACTGGTACTGTCTTTGCCTGCAACACATGGCATGGAGGGAAAGAGATCACATGCCTTGACACGGACGAACGGGACTTCTTCTCCAATCAGTAGTGCAGTCCAGTCTCACCAAATTTCTGAACTGGAGATTGTAGAACATCTGGATGTATTTCTGTTTGGCTAGTTTCTGGTCCTTGTTCAGCTGCTTCCAGAAGCCATACATCGACCCCATGTTCACCACCTTGTTCGCATAGATCTTCCATGTGTAGCTGCAAGAAGATGGATCGACAAAATTTATGTGCGTGGACCAAAACATGCGAAGGGGAATTCTCTTCGCCGTCACTCGGTTATTTTTATTACCTTTCGCAGATTCTCTGCAGACCAGCAGTAGACACCTTGTTCCAGTGCCTCAAGTCTTCTTTGCATTTCTCGAAGAAATCTGCAATTTTGTTGCTTGATTCCTCTCCGTTGTTGGGGTTGATGTGGAAACCAGAGACCCCATCGACGATGATCTCAGCTGGACCTCCCTGGTTTGTGGCAAAGGTAGGCAGCCCGCAGTTCATTGCCTCGATGACTGTAAGCCCAAATGCTTCATACAGTGCAGGCTGGATTGTTTCATTGCGGAAGTCAGGATAATGCAACAGACAAAAACAAGGTAAATGATGATGATAATGATTTCTGAAAGACAAACGAGTTCTGACCTGCACAAAAGCCCCCTTCGTGTCGGCAATACAGCGATAGAGTTCACCGTTCCTGAGGCGGTCTTTCTGGGCAGTAATCCATCTAATCTGGCCCTTCAAGTTGTATTTCTCAATTAGGACATGCATCCTCCTGATCTCACTGATTTCTTCCCGATCATTTGACTTGGATGGGTCGAAAAAGCCCGCAACAACAACAAGATTGACCAGACTCCTGAGCCTTTTGTTCTTCCCATACCATTCGGTAAGGCCTGAAATGTTCTTCACTGTGTCTAGTCTCGCCATGGAGAAGATGATGGGCTTCTTCCTGTCCTCTAGGAATCCACTGCTCTCATCAATTTCAAGAGAAAGAGAAATGAAGGTGGATCAGCAATGACTGGAAGAATACCAATGAGGGAAAGTAATCATCACTAATGGTGAGGCTTACAAATGCTCATCATTGTCCTTGTTATTAAACAGCAGCTCCTCGATTTCAGGGTGAAATGAAGTCAATCTCTTATGTTTCTGTGTGTAGGGAAAGTACACAGACTGATCTGCCCCAGGGGAAGCTATATTGAACTTTGGATCAAACACATTGATTCCTGACACGAATCGGCACAGCCCTGGAAGCGTAAATGCGAGGTGGCTCTCATACTGTCCTGGCTTGCTTTTGCTGTGACAAACATAGACCTCCCAGAAGACGTTAGAGAGATGTCTCAAATGGAGTAAGAGAAGCACTGCAAGCACAAAAGAGACGCATCAATTCCCCAACCTTCCTGCAATTTCCTGGTATGTGCTCGTGATGATGAAGTCTGCAGAGTTCATGGCAATCATGTCGGCTGTAAATTGGCAAGAGAAGTGATACTTTGGGTCTAGTTCCTTCCATTTGACGTCGGAGTCTTCATACTTGGTTTTCTCCAGAGCATGAGCTATGGTTCCCTGCTTGTTCGGATGTTTTATAGCTTGTATAAGAATAATTTAGCATGGATATTTGCTCACATCAACTAAAGAAATCATCTTTGTTCTTAGTCCTGTAGATTGGGGTGTGACCATAAAGTCCAATCCAAAGTAAACGAGTACTGGAGAACCAGCGGCACCTGTGTTACTCCCAGCTTGGCAGCCACCAGAGAGGATACTAAGTTTCCGTCTGTGTAGTTTCCTATGATCAGGTCTGGCTTCCCTTCCATGAACTCCAGAATCCTGGCAGTAGCATCCTGCAAGAAAAATCCACGATTGGGGACACCAAACCACGAAACTTCCAAGGATAAAAAGAAGAATGAGACGAAGGAAACAAGATCTTACCTGAGCATATCTCTCCAGGTATGGGTAGATGTCGAAACGAGATACCCATTCCTGAAGTACCCCATTTTCCGTCTTGAACGGGATTCTAAGGATGTAGGAGTGGGTGGTGCCGAGAATCTGCTCCAGCTCCTGGTTGCACTTCGTACCCCGAGCTTCTGGTATGAGCCGTGTCACCTGTGAAGGAAGGTACACCGCTCGTTTCATTGCTCCAAGCTCATAGAAAATTAAAGACCAACAACACCCCTCCCTCACCCCCCGTACCCGCCCCCAACTCACCACAAAGATATGAGGCTTAACAGTCAACCCCTGCTGCTTGATTCTGAGGAGGAGTTCCTCCTCCAATGCCCTGACTTGATCCAGTATGTACACCACCTGTTGAAGAACAGAGACCGCAGAGTCAGATAAACCTGGCCACTATCGCTCTTGCTTCTGCAGGAAGATACCATTCGCTAACCTGGCCACCTGTGTCTGGCAAGCCGAGGACATCAGCTTGGCCAAAGTATCCGTGGGGAGAGAAGATCACGACGTTGAAGATGGAAGGAAGTCTGCCGAAGAGCTTCTCTATGTTCACTATGTCAGGTGCCTGCAGGACCTCGGAGAGACAATGGAGAGTCTCCCTGACGCGGTCGGCTCTGTCACCCCATCCCTTCAGCAGTCCCCACTCCTCGAACCTGAAACACACAGGGGATATGCCGTAAGCCTATGTCTGCCCCTCCGTAGTCTCCGGCACCCCGGTCTGGCGTCGTCACCTGTGCTCGAACTTCTGGAATGGGGTGTCCTGGGGAAGCCCAGAGACGAAGACTTCAGCCAGCAACAGCGCCGTCTGAAGCTTGACCACCGTGTTGACGCTCTCGTTAATCAGAAACTTCTGCATATGGCCGCATGATGCACTATTAACGTAATCCGTTGGTTTCCATAGATCATGGAAGACAAGAGGATCTCACTTCTCCTCGATGGTTGAGAGCAAGCAAGTAATCCAGCAGAGGCTTCATGCTTTCGTCGGGGCTCTGGCTCAGCCTGGAAGACAGGAACCTGGCGATGAACTCCATCCCGTTCCCGATGGACGACGGCAGCGTCAGGCGAGGCACGTGCGAGTCAAACGACGAAAAGTCAACTTCCAAGGCGTCCTCGTCCTTGGCCCTGCAGAAAGCGAGAGAATAGCCCACGTGAGGAATGGAGCTTCCGGCGGCCACATGCAAGGAAATGTCAACACGCCACGTGTACCATCTCTCGTCGTATATAGATTCCTTGTACTTGAGGTAGTCGGACATGGTGATGTCCTCCACGGACAGATCGTCGGAGTTGGCCCTGACAAACTCCCAGATTCCGGGATACGGCCTGACGGCGAGGGCGATGATGGGCGGGAGAACGACGGCCTCCTGCATGTAGAGGCCCCGAGATGGGTAAAGTTCTCCTTGGAATCGAAGAGAAGAAGAAATACGAACCTGGGTGGAGCATATGATGTAACCGAGGAAGCCCTCCATGAGTTTAGCTTTCTCAGCCTTGTCGTCCAACGCGCTCTCCATTTCTTCCACCAGCTGCTGGTTCTTCATCAGCCTCTTGCCCTTACTGACGAACCTGTTGTGCCATGTCTTTCCTGTCAATTTCAAAGAACGTCAAGGAAATCTTTCAGAGACGAGCTGCGCCATACCTGGCGAAGCAACGCCTCATCTGGTACCGGCTCTGCCTCAAAGCCTCCGGCATGCTCTCCGCAATGGTGTCCGACCTCTTGAAGCTCCCTGCTAACGCCATTCTCCGAGGAAGAACCAATCTGCAAGACCCACCAGGAAAGGTCTCGCCAAGATGAACTCTGATAACTATTCAGAAAGGATTTATATAGCAGAGGCTTCCTCTGCCTGGAGAAGTGGGGTGCTCGCCGCTGGCCCATCCTTGAGGGTTGGGAATAAGAAGGAAACCCCCGGCGTGAGTGGGTCATGAAGGCTCCTGTAGGAAGACGGCAGATTCAGAGAGAAGCAAGCGCCCAAAAGGAGAATATTTGTCGCAAGAAAGGTATTCTCTCGTCGTTGCAAATTGTAGGTTCCTTTTTTAATCCCGAAGCTTGGTATGACCGCCATCGCCGCCGCTGGGCTGTTCTGAGGTTCGGAATGTGACTCCTTCCGGTGGATATCCCCGGCGAGAGGTTTGCCGGTGAGTACCTTGGAACAGAAGATTCAGTAGAGGGTTGTCAAGGGAGGAGGGACTATCGAGTGTTGGATTCCTTACTCACCAGTATCTTTATAAAAAAGAAAAAAAGAAGAAGGGATTCTTAGATATTCAAGATCATGAAAACCAGAAAAGTAAACAGATAAATCCTGTGAACGGAATCATAATCACCTCCTTTGCAAACAGCAGCGATTCTCATGGTTGAATTCATCCGTCCCGAGTGGGGATTGCCCCTCTTCCTTGGCAATCACCAGAAACCTCCGCAGCTACAAGTTCCATTTTTGAAATGATGAAATCGGTTGGCGTCCCTCACAGTGATCTCTCTTCTGGTAATCATGCTGATGAATTTGGTCGCAGTGTGGCAGTCCCCACAGATACGCAGGTTCTTGGCGACAAAAATGGGCTGACCGGCGCTCAAGGTGAGAATTCCGAATGATATGGCCAGCTTCTCGCTATGGTAGAGGAGAAGATGCTCCTTCTCCTCTTCCTCCACATTCTGCAGCACATAACTTGTGTCAGGGCGGTAGCCCATCTTCCTCATCTCGATAAACAGATCACCGAGGGTCTCATATATCTTTGACGAGCAAGGGTGAGACCGGTCGCCGCCGACGAAGGCGTGAACCCTGCCCCTGATCTCGATCCAACTGCAGCCGGGGCTCTTCTTGAATCCTTGGTCTCTCTGCAGGATTCTGACGCTCGCGGCCTCGTCGAATCTCCCGGCGGCGCTGTAGATGTTCGACAATAGCACGAAGTTCCCCGTGCCCTCAGGCCCCAACTTCTGGATCATCCTCGACACTTCTTCTCCGAGTTTGACATCCTTGTGAAGCCTACAGGCGCTGAGCAAAGCGCCCCACACGCGCACATCTTGCGCGAAGGGTATCTTCTGGACGAAATCTCGGGCCTCCTGCAGGAACCCGCCGCGGCCCAGGAGGTCAACCATGCAGATGCAGTGCTCGACCCTCGGGACGAGGTTAAATTTTTCAGACATGGCGGAGAAGAACTCTTTCCCTTCCTCCACCAGCCCGGAGTGGCTACACGCAGTCAAGACACCGATGAAAGTGACATCATCAGGCTCCAAGCCAACAGCCTGCAAGCCAAAGAACAGAGAAAGCGCTTCCTTCCCCAGCCCGTGAATCCCATACCCGGACATCATGGTATTCCATGACACGATATCTCGTTTAGACATTCTATCGAACAGGTTCCTCGCGAGGGTGATCCTGCCGCACTTTGCATACATGTCGACCAGTGCATTGCAGACGGAGGTATCCGACGAGAGCCCACGGACAACAACGTAGCCATGACTGCATCTGCCGTGCTGCAGAGCTGCTAGATGAGAGCAGGCTGGGATCACGCCCACCATGGTCGCAGAGTCTGGCTCTGTGCTGGAAGCCTGCATTTGACGGAAAATACGCAGAGCCACCTCTGCGCTGCCGTTCTGCAGGCATCCGGATATTATGGCGCTGTAAGAGACTGTATCTCTTGTTCCCATCTCACCGAACAACACGAGCGCATCACCTACATTTCCACATTTGGAGTACATGGACAGAAGAGAATTTCCCACCGTTATGTCCGAAGAGAACCCAGATTTGGTCAAGTAGCCATGAAGGTGTCTCCCTCGGCTTAGGTCAGTCAACCTCGCGCAGGCTCGGAGAATGCTGGCCAGAGTGGTGGGGGTGGGAGGATAGTGTTTATCAAGAACCATTTGATTGAATGCTTCCAAAGCCTGAACCATGCGGTCGCAGGAGACATACGCTCCGATCATCGCGCTCCAGGTGACTTCATTTTTTGCAGTGACGCCGTCGAAGACCTTCTCAGAGTAGTCTAAACTAAGGCATTTGGCGTACACATCCAGCAAAGCTGTTCCGACAAGGACATGCGCCTTATCCATATACCTTCTGACACAGAATCCATGGACGCTCTTGACCTGGCTCAGAGCCTTGGCCTCGCCAATGGTGGGGAGAAGGGCAACGACAGTAGAGGAATTCGGAATGACGCCTGCCCTCTGCATTTCCAAGACAAGGTTGAGTGTATCTTCGTGCATCCCGTGAAGGGAGCACCCTGCGACCATCGCATTCCATGCAACAATGTCTCTCTGAGGCATCTTGTCGAACATCCGGCGGGAGATCTTCAGCTGCCCGCATTTCATATACAAGTCGAGCAGAGCCGTAGAGATGAAGACATCAGAGTGCAGCCCGATTCTCATCACCCGGCCGTGAATCTCCATGCCGTGATTCAAGGCGAGAAGACCCGAGCACGCTTTGAGGAAGAAAGGGAAGGTGAATTTGTTCGGCGTGACGCCGGAACTGATCATGCGGCGGAACAGGTCGACGGCACCACGCGGCCGGCCATTCCATGAACAGGCCCTGATCATGGCATTCCACAGGAAGACCCCAGGGCGATCGATCTTCTCGAAGAGAAGGAGAGCAAGGTCGACCTTCCCACAGGATATGTGGTGGAACAAGCGATTCTCAACCACAGACAGATCTGCCTCATCGAATCTGTCGCAGGGTTTGTCAAGCCGGGCCGCTCCGCCATCTCTCAACGCTCCAAGAAGCAGCCTATCCACAGCATCGGCGTCCGGTAAGAGCTCCAACCTCCCACTGCTTCCTCTGCCGCTGGCGCCGCCGGTGATAAGCCCTGTCTCCCCTGAGCCAAGCGGGTTGGCTGCCAACCACTGGCATCTAACCAGGCGAGGAACCAGATTGAAGCCGGAGAAGAGGGATCGCCGGAGCACCGTCATTTGGGAGAGCACCTGGTCGACATCCCCGACAATCTTCGCAGACCCGGGTCAGAAGAGAGAGACGGGGAGAGATGGCGCCCGAAGGTATTCGTTCATAATTCGGCTAGTCAACGAGAGCCGACCCGAATATTGCTACTTTGGGGAAGCCCGTTTGGGCCATAACTGGAATCACCTGCGGGTCTTCTTCGTTGACCCTTTATGTCTTCGGCGTTTATCCACCTACCTCGAGTCTTTCTCGCGTTGACTGATAGGAGACTCCAAAGTTTGTCCGATAAAGGGGTGTTTACTTCCGAGTTTTTAGACGACGACGTGGAAGGAGAGCTGACATCACCTTTGACCCTCACTCTCGCTAGCCCCGAGAGGCAACCAAGTAATCAGCGGGTAATCGATCCTTGGGACCGAGCGCCGAAGAATGATGTATGCTTCCTACCTAATGGTCTTTATCTTTATTCGTAGGGTGAATGGTGTGAAATAAACCCTTTTCAGGTCTAAGAATAAAAATTCCAAAGTATATTGTCTCTAATAACTCTATATACAATAAATAATATTTCAAGGCATTTGTAGTCACTATATATAGGAATAATTCACGTAATTCAACCCATAAGTATAAATATATAGTTTGAAAACTAGCCTATGGTGCAAGTACATCAACTATTACTCTATGTGACATTGTTGGCACAAGGTAACGAAGTGACGAAGTTTTCTATGATTCCCATGCGAGCACACATCGGACGCAACGACCCTATTAGGACAAAACAAGGTTCAACAAAAGTGTCTTCTGAACCTCACACACAGGCGATTGGCACTGCATCAACATGGAGTGACACGACATGCACGGGTGATGTGACGCGAATAGGCGTTGTTAGCTAGATGAACTGTTCATCTCGAGGGGCTTATTGGCAGGTCCAGCTCACACTATCAAGAATGTCCCATCAGAGTAAGTCTCCTAGGTATTAGCAGAAAGAGGCCACCGCCTCTGAAAAGAAGGCTACCATACAGTTTACTTATGTATGATCCATTTGAGCAAGAGAGGGCTCGTTGGAATCGACGAGGACGACTAAGGTCAACACTAGTGGAACGAGCATGGTCAATTCAAGCTGATCACCTTGAGCCATAAGACACTCGAGGGTTATTGTCCTCAAGTGTGTCACACCAGGTATATCTCTCCTTTTAGTTGTTTAGATAGAGCTTGCAAATCATAAGAGAAAATTAACGGTGAAAGAGGTGTTTGAATGGAGGGAAGGGAGAGCTAGAACTCGAGAGAGTCGAGAGAGAAGGAGGGGGGAGGGGGGCGAACGACCCGTTATCACAGGGAGAAAAATGCAGGGGAAAAGTGTAGAGAAGCCAGGCCCAATGAACCGGCGTGGGCAGAAACGAGCGCCGTGGTCAGCATCGCAGTGGACCGCCCTGGCGCAGAGGGCCTAATGGACCGTTCATACATAAAAGGCCCAAATGAAAAAGGGAGAGGCCCGGTATTACCAATATAGACACAAGGGGTCCATTAGATCGGTTCCATAATGTATCGAATGAAAGTAGATTTATCCAACAAAATCGTCCTTGAGTTGACTAAGACGAGACTTTGAAGTTTCCCCTCCTCTCTTTTGCCCTCTCGACCTGTCTATTTTCCTTTTCTTCGTGCTAGAATCCGCGCCACCTTCACAAAAACCTCCTACGATCTCTCTCTCTCTCTCTCTCTCTCTCTCATTCCCTCCCTCTCGCGCGTAGATTATTTGTTAAATAACTCGCCAAACCTTCAAGCACAACTCTCTCTTATGCAATGGCGTGACCGGACATCGACATACGAGATGCAAGACGCACGCCGGGGGTGGAGTGCGAGAAGCAGGCGCAGTGGGTAACTGAGTCCAGACTCAGAAGGACGTGATGCTGTCTGATTGTGAACACCCAGAGATGATTGCAGACTCAGAAAGACGATGGCTGCTCATGAATATCGGAGTCCTACGATAAACTTACGCAATGAGGTACCTAAATACTGTGACAGAATCATCGGTACATGGGCACGATTTCGAAGCAGACGTCTTTTATTGTTTTTATTTCATCTTTTTCCCTCAGCTCCGGAGAAGGCCTCGTGGGAACTGCTTGTAAGAAATTAGCAGAAGAAGAAAGAGCCACCAGTTCACTGTTATCCATAAAGATCCATAAAAAAATACCTCAGACCAAGAAATTAAAGATTAAACCCTCATTCTTTAGTGCGTAGCGTAAAACAAAAACACAATGAGACTGCCACAGGAAGAAGCGGAGGGCACCCAACCTGCAGAACATTGAAAGGCTACCCATTTGACCTTATTTTCATATATATTTCATTTTGATTGTCCTGGTCTCCCTTCATTGGAGATTCCCACCTGCAAAAGACCTACTTGCTGATGAAGAATTCATCCCAGATTCTAACAGGCTGATGTCCACGCCATGGTTATGTTCTCTCTGCGAAATCCCCTCTCGGATGGTCCTCACCATTCTGCCGACCCCCAAGAAATCCCTGGTCAACCCGTCCGAGCCCTCTGCATTCCCAAACTGTAGGCTATGGTGCAGGTTCCCATCGTCGACATCACATAAACTCGGATCGAACCCACCATAAGCGACGTCCTGCCCATGCCCACCGCCGCCGTAGCTTCCTCCAAATGTCATCGCTACTTCTCTAGAGCCACCGCCAAACATACCAGTGTTTCCGTTTGCTAGAGAGTTCATGAGATCTTGGAGATGGGTCTCGCTTTCAATCTGCCTCCGTGAGCTCTCTCCACCGCTGCCGCCACCAAAAACGGTCTTGAGGTTGATCGGTTTAGCGTTCACGAAAGAAGACGGAACTCCGACGCCCCTGTGCAAGGAAGGTCTGCTGCCACTCGTGGTCGCACCCATTTGGGAAGCTTTCTGGAGTAAAGCGGTTGCTGACATCTGAGGAAGCACTCCTCCGTTCTGCAACGAGGTGTTATAGAGAGAGGACATGGCGGAGGCCACGTGATCATCCACTAGATTTCCAGCGAAGAACGATGGTGCCTCTCCGGGCCTATTGCTGTCGCTATACTGATCAGGAACCAGCAAGTGATTACCCTGGTTAGCGACATTATTCGTATTGCTGACGCTTCCGGTGCTGCTGCTGGTGTTGGAGAAGAAGCCAAGATGGAACAAACTGGCGGCTGCTGAGCTCACAGCAGGAGGGGATGTGGCCGTATTGTTGTGGAGTTCCGGAAGTTGCATCAAGCCATGGCAGGACTTGCCATTGAGAAAGTCCTGACTGGAGCCGGTGAAGAAGAACCCAGAAGAAGCACTTGGTTGATGCTGACGCGAGGACGAGGTATCGAGAGGAGAGGAGAGGTGGCTGAATTGGGCAGCACCGCCACAGCCTCCAAGCCGGAGGATGTCGCTGGACGCTCTGGTCGAGTCCTGGAGAGAAGAGATTTGGGAGTTTACCTGAGACAGGCCAAGGGACATGTTGCTCCTGCCCCCGTATAAGGGCCCCCCTAACGCATTCAGCCCAGCGGGTATCACGGCACTCTCCTGGGCTAGTACGTCGCAGAACGCTCGGTGGGTAATGAAGCTGTCTCGCCTGCAAAAATCAAGACAAAGTATTCATGGGTTATCTTGATTTACGTCGAGCTTCTGCGTTAGCAACGGGCTAATTATGGAAATGAAGGCACATGTAGAGGAAGAAGCACAGCCATGGAATAAGTATCATTCCTTGAATACAAAACTATAGTATAAACAGAAAAAAGTTGTCAGTCTTGGAGAGAGGAAGAAAGGAAGGGAAAACGACTGCTTCATCTTAAGATCCTGAAGGAGAAACAAAGGAAGCCAGTAAAGGGCCTTGTCTTCATTCATTCATGGAACGAACAGGGCCAAGAAGCCTTTTCTTGGCTACCCTCCGCAATGAATGCAGAGGAGGAACCATTGCAGGAAACATGAAACGAACATTCATCCCCATGCATCACTTTGAAAGAATAAGCTTCTCCGGTGTCTCGATGATCCCCCTGATAGATTCTAACCAAAGAGCTGAACCCACAGCTCCCAGACTACCGTCCCTAACAACGTGGCCAACACATTTGTGGAACTCTATTCAATTAATGAATGAGAGAGGCACAGAGAGAGAAAGAGATAGAGAGAGAGAGAGAGAGAAAGAGAGAGAGAAAGAGAGCCTTTTACAGAAGAACCCAGGAACAAGAGATGGGAGATCTTCTCTTCCCAACACTAACGTTTTCATGAAAAGATGAGCTCGAATTGAATGCAGAGCGCCAAGCTTGCTCTACTGTGGTCAACCCAGAGGAGAAGAAAACCCTGCTGCGAACTTGCCTTACACGGCGGCACGTGAACAGAAAAGGATACGGCGGGACTCACAAGTGAAGAGGAGGTCAGGAGTCTAAGTGCAAACTTGGCGTTGATTTCGAAAATGAAAATATCACTTCCCCTCCTATGAAATATCTCAACATGCTTCAGCTATACTACGGCGGTGGCCCGAAGTCGGGGCACGATTCACGTGGGAGCAGTTCCACAGTCCCACAGTTACACTGGCATTTGTCCTCGAGACGTTACCACCCCTGCTACCCATAACCCTAACCCTAACCACCCTCTTTCTTCATCCTTCCAGTCTCAAACGAGAGGAGAACTACAGTCCTGACCTCGGGAAACAGAAAACAACAAAACAGGCTCACGCGTAACGTCACCGACAGAACCGATAATGAAATTCCTACCGTTACGAAATGTAGCACCCACATGAACACATGGAAATGAGAGGAGGAGGGAGACATACGGCGATAAACGGCGTAGGAGGAATACTTCGGGAGAAGGATGTGAGAAGCCTACCGAGAGAAGAGAGTGCCGCAGTCGCATCGGTACTCGCGGGTGCCGCAGGTCTTGGAGTGGGCCTTCCAGTCCGACTGGACAGCGTAGCGCTTGGAGCACTTGTCGCACTTCCACTTCTTTTCTCCGTGCTTGCGGCAATAGTGCTTCTTGATGCCCGTAAGGTCACCGAGCGCTCGCGAGGGGTCGTGGTGGACACAGGTGGGCTCCGGACACACGTATACCCGCCGCTTCACCTCCGTGGTGCTCTTCTGCCGAAGCTTCCATGGCAGGTTGTGCCCCCTCCGGTGCAACTGCAGGTTCTGCTCTCTTTGGAATCCCTTCTTGCACACCTCGCAGATGAAGCGGTTCGTTGCCAGTAGAGTCTTCGGCGATAGAGCTATTACCTCGGCGTCAGGATCTATATCAGTCAAAATGGCGTTAATGAGCTATTTCATGGACATAGGTGAAAGATAATAGGAGTGGCACTTGATCACTGAGTCAGATGAATTCGTCAATCAGCCCGATCGATTCATATTTATATCTGAGTGTGAAGAAATGTGTGCGTACTGTGGATCTTAACCAGACCCAAAAGTTAATCAGATCTTCTAATTCTGACTTGGGGCTTGAAATTTAGTGTATTGGTAAATTGGAAACCATTTCAATATCAAAGAATTTTCTCGTAGGGCACAGGAGGCTATGAATAGCGCCTCTATTGCAAAAGAAATACCCAATTCAGTGGCTTAGTGGACATGGAATATCGTCTTGATAAGGGAACTTGGAGAACACCCTCTTTGGAATTAAGAGCACGCTACGGAAGGCTCAGATAAAAATATATATGTGATTTCCTTGTAAATATGCGAAGAGAAGGTCCTGAGATCGATACTAGTAAGATTTTTTGTGTTTTAGATACTTGCTTGGTGTTCCTGGCAGGTTCCTTTTTTTCTTCTGAGGCACAGCAGGTGACGGCGTCGCTGAGGAGGGAGTACAATCAGAAGATAACGGCGTCTGCTTCATCTGATTTTGAAGGCCCGCTTCTGTGACGCCATAGAAGATGGTCGAAGATGAAGACGATGCCATTTCTCAGTCGATAAAGAAATCCCTCAGACTCCGTCTTCTGCGGTTTATCCTTCTGTCTTTGCAAATATTATCGCTGTCCGGTCAAAATCAAAATGAAAACTGTCACCACACCGGTTTCAGAATTATCGTTCTATTGACAACACAAGACACCCACATCTCGCCCCCCAGGATCTCGATGAACCAAAAACCGAAAGAAATGGAAGACCGAAGAAGTCCTAAAGTATCATAGTCCGCTTATCTGCATATGTGGGCGGCGGATCTACAGGCCACATGAACCCTCCGAAAAGCCTCCAAATCTTGCCCAAAGACTCATCTAAGATCCATAAAAGAAAACAACGGAAAGCAGGAAACCAAACAAGCAGTTTCACTCAAAACGAGTCAAAGGAGAGCTAGAGAGAACAAACATAGGAAAGAAGAAGAAGAAAAACACAAACCAGTCCAAAGACACTTTTTCCTTCGACCTGATTCGCACTTTTTTCCTTCATCTGCTCTCCCTCCTCCTAAATCTCCTACTCCGTGGCTACCGAGGCTTCTTGCAGTGCTGGTGTGGGCAGCGAGAGGCCCCCGATTTCATTCTGTTTCCCTATCCCGCTTCACCGCTGTCTGGTAAAGCTCGCCCCGGTCAGTCGTAGTCTCCCCTACTTTTATTTCATCAACCCCCGAAGATCCGCAATATATGAATAAATATTAATGAGGGGAGAGGGATTGCAATTGACTGTCTCACGCAGGCAAGTCCTGTCGTTACATGAACACGAGTGGGCTCCGCCGCCCGGCCGTAAACCTCCCGCTCTCTCGCCTCGTCTCGCATCTCCTATGCTCCACGTCTGGACAACCCATCCCCTCCACCCGGCCTCAGAGACGGCTACCTCAAGAATCTCCTCTCTTAATTTATGAAGAAATGTCTCATCAGCCAGAATAACAGTTGCTCCTCTTGCACGCATGAGACACGGATTAACCCTTGGGATTTACTCCTACGAAGGCACAAACGCGGTTTTCCTAAGAACAGCGTCTCTCTCGGTACGGGAGAACCTCTTGGCTACCCCATAGATGCCGCTTTCCCTGGTGTGAGAAAGAAATCTCACGGTCTTCCGCTCGAGATTCACGTGCAGATGTCGACGTAGGGACTGTGATAATGCCATCATTGCGCCAATCTGTGAGGCGTCGTGCAGGAGGGATAAGAAATGAGTGACATGGCGGGAGTCCAATAGAAAATGTGTCCCCTTTCCCCAACCGATGACCATCTTTGTCGGGCGATAATTTTAATGCCTCTTCTTTTTTCTATCTTGTTTTCAGGGAAGATCCTCCGTGGTTTCAGCCACCGGAGCTACGCAACAAAATGTCAGGCAAGTAGTACACCTCCGGACAGTTTCTAATGTAAAGGTTTTTCAATTCAAAATCAATTGAAAAGGACGGAAGATTGATCATTCATTTTGAACAGCGATAATTGATTGTAGTTATATCGAGTTATTCATGCATAATATTTGAGTTACATTGCGTTAGTAACAGGATATTTTCTTCATATCTTTGTTTATGTTTTTACTTGGGTTTCTCAGAGGTTATTTATTTACGTATTTGATATTAACCAAGTTATGGTTGGGGGAAAAGAGATGAAGATTTTGTATGATAGCAACACAGGTGTTGATTTCCTATTACATCTTCAGGGACCCAGCTCAACACACTCTCTTTAGCTTTTTTTATGTGCTTGTCCGCCTTGTCCCTTCTCATGCCCTTAGCTCGAATTGTTGAAAACCCCCACATATTGATAACAGCACATACTGGGTGAATTATTCGACAGAGAACAATCTGGTGCGTGTTGGTCGCATCGTCTACACGAAACCCCATGGCAGCACAAAAATGACCATGCTGTCTAAACCGTACGACTCCCCATAATATGTCATCACTGTTCTTTCTATAATTATAAATCCACCGTTAAAGAGCGACAAATAGCCATCCGACTGGAATCTGGCCAATGTAAGTTTCTGCTCGGGAGCAGAAAGCAAGCCTCAGCGGCCGGCCAGCCATGAGAGGTACGCCCAGTCGATTCTCAAATCTGGACGTCTTCAAAATGCCTACTTCCTCATTCTTGCCAGTCATTAGCTGCCGTCAACGTATTATTCTCCAGTGAAGACGATAAGGCTTCCAAATATTGCGCTCGATACGCACGAGTAGTTATCTTCGTGACGACTATCTCCCGGCGCGTCCGTCAGCAAGTTGAACGGGATAAGGACGCACTCGTGGGACAGTGGTCTCGAACCGACATTCTTTTGAAATGGCGGAGACAAACGTACCTCAAGGCCGCTTGTGTCAAGAACATTCCTCTTGGTTGTTTAATTTGACGGAGAAAGGAATGCATATGTAAGGCCGAATCCCAATTTCCTCGGTACCACAGAGTCTTTCATTTCTTCTTAACATATTCCATTAGTAGCCAGCCCGATGAAAGAGTAATAGTATATTCCTGTGAGCTATCAGCTTTCCATGATTTTGGAGTTCCGAGCTAGTCCCTATCACGGGGAAATCTACTGTTGGGTCCTCCAGCCTCGTAAGAAAAGAGCAATGGGGGAAATCTTGAAAGGTTTTGTATGTGCACATAATTACAACTGTTATTCCACTTTGGGGATAACCTTTCGTTGAGCTGTGAAGATATGCTTGAATGTTGAGGATCTCTTCTTCCTGGTTTTATTGTAGCTGACATACGATCCGTTTATTATAGATAGTTCTTCCCATTGAAGATACGATGCATTGTTCTGCCGTATCACGTCGAGTGTTGAATGTCAGGAAATTGCATTGATTATTCCCCAGCTTTCGTGAAGACACCTCTAACCCAAATGCCTATTTCGCGGTCGTCGGACCCGGCTCAGTAAATTTATCTTACTGTAGAATAGAGTACTCTCGGGCAGTGTCGCCACGAGAAAGGAGAAAGGCTTTGACTATGGTAAAACAGGGAAGAGTTTCATCTGCACTCTGTACCGTTGTGTCTGCAGGGTGGACAGATTCGTCCCCTTTAGGAAGATTTCAAGCTCAGGGTCGATCTTAACTTTTAAACTCTTCTCCAGAATTCACGTTTAGAGGAGATGAAACATCATTGGCGATTTCATGAAGAACAATATTTCTGCTCTTTAGATCAGATAAACTGACCCTCGACAACCTCTCCCACACCAAAGCCCCCTCTCCCCACTTCCCCCATTGGGAGGGTCGATGGACTGGGGGAAGACCATGCGCAGAGGCACGACCTGGCCATCCCCACTGACATATTGAACTTCTGTCGGTTTGCAAGAAGGTACAACAGATGGACGGATGCCGATGGCTGAGAACAATGAATCCATCCATTTAACGACGAAAATCCATCTCTTATACACCTGGCACGGTCTTTGTATACTCTATGAGTGAAGGCTGATCTAAAGAGCAACTGTAAGATATTAAGTTCATCGATTATAATTCACGAGACATTATTTTCTTTATTTCCATGTTTTACATTTCAACTAAATCAATCATCTTTGAGAAGAGACAGATTTTATATTTGGTTATGTTTTGGAACTACATTTTTTTGAAATGATTGATTACCATTATGTCTTATGACACTAGAGTGGTCGACCAAATTAAAGTTCCATGGTCGCTGGTTTGAGTTGGATTCGGATATGCCACTAAAACTAAAAATTAATTCATGGTTTAATGGATCAAGCTCCTAGATTTACACAGTCAATGACCGGCTTTGATGTTGACTATTGTAAACTTTAATTGCCTCATTATTGAAGAAAAATTCAAAACAATCGCTGAAAGATAAAACCTTCTAGATCGTGGGTAACCATTCAATAAAAGAAAATAAGATTCTGAAGACAAACCGTCAAATATCGTAACCCAAGTGAGCTCCTAGGTTGTGGTATTTTATTCACAAGGGGCTGCGACGAAACACGCGCATGGCATCGCATGTGACCGGCTTTCATGGTCCACTGTGCAGCGCTATGCTACTGCGCCGTATGGGCTCATGGGGACCAGGACTGATTCAAACTCCAATAAAACAGCGGAACAAGCTCGGATGTGACAGGGAATCACGAACGCAAGGCTCCGAACCCAACGAGAAGCAAGGAGAATTCCTCTACGGAACTACGATGAGATAAACATGGAGGGGTGCAAGTTACGGTAGAACCACTACGGTAGAACATGGAGAGGTGAACCATTAATCACAGACAACAGAAAGAATATCTCTGACACTTCCAGTTCTTACGTTAGAATATCTACACGGTTCGATTGAATGGTTATCGTAAAAGTTTTGAAAGTTTTATGTGGTCAAACTTTAAAGAGGCTTACTCATGCTTCATGGGTTTTTCTTTAGTTTATAAGCCAAGTGGCGAATGATTCTTCTAAGGAGATCATAATGGAGCCCTGAGGTCAAACCACTTTAGGGTCCCATTAGTTACGCCAAGTTAATGTACATGACAAAATAAAGAACTATAGAAGTGCTTTCTGATCGCTGGTTAATGATCAGGAAAGTCCGTTCTGGCGCCCATTTTAAGTCTCGGTCGACATCTAGGAAGGATGAGGCTCGAGGAGTTCGAGGATACGCCTCTTTTGTGGACTCGTCCACACTATGGCGGTCATCTTCCTCGTTCTTATCCACCCCGCAAGTAGGAAACTCAGATTATTTATTTTTCTAAGAAATGACATAAGAAGTCCTGTGTAATTATATTTTTGAATGTCTATAATGAAAACTTTACAAAGTTTGTGACATAGGATGCTCAATACCCATGATTTTTATTTCACCTTACAGTTAGATCGTAGTTTACCTTGTTGTAAGAGAAATCTGGACCATAATTGAATATTGTAAATTATTATACAAAGCCTATATTTTTCATTGACGCTACATATTCAGGCTGCAGAAGCTAATTCAGTTTCACCAAAACAATTGAAGGTGGCACTTCCTTTAAAACTCACAAGAGGAAGTACAAATAATGGTCCATTCATGAATAATAATGCTTTAAAGTTGTGAGCATCGGTATGATGATATTACATGTCAGCTCATTTATTACGAAGATTATTTGCATTATCCAAACCTGACTAGCTATGAAATAAGGAGAGATATTGGGTGAGAGAGAGGAGGGGGGAGGCATGGAGAGGGTAAACACCAAATTACGCCAATCGTCTACCACTGCGGCTTAAAAATTATTCCTTAGAGCGGGTTCCACCAAATTGTCTACAACTGTGGTGTGGAAGTTGCTCCATGGGTTATTATTTATTTAACGAACCCTTGAAAAAGTCGTGTACGAGTCATCTTTCTAAGTATTGCGTAGTACCTGAGCTCGTGGATATCCTCAACACGCGGGAGATGCGACGTCCTTTTCATTATAGGGAGCTGCTGAGCCAGCGATAGCGAGGTCGGGCCCCGCTAGTGCCGCAGGCTCAAGATTCCGCGTTGGGGTCCAATCGACGGAGGGGAGGAGGGGAGGAGGGTCGTCGGAACGGACAAGAGAGGAAGTTTTCAATAATTCTCGCAGCAACGGACACAAACTTACATGCCCAGAAAAAAAGGCTGTGTATCGCATCGTGTCATGAGAGCTCTTTTTGGTTTCATAGCCTTTGACCTTTCTGGGGAGTGGAACGATTTAGTTTTCTTCTCTTTAGATCGGTCTCGGTCTCTCTCTCTCTCTCTCTCTCTCTCTCTCTCTCTCTCTCTCTCTCTCTCTCTCTCTCTCTCTCTCTCGTGCAAGTTGACCACGTAGCCAGTCACCAATATAACTGTTTTCCTCCTTGATGTTAGAATTGACTCGAGCATAATCGGGAAGAATAGCTACCATGCTTCTACGGCAGTATCAATGCCCGTGAAGATTTTGAGACATACTGATAACTCGAATGTAGTTGAACGAACGCCAATAAATTCTCACCAGTCCATATTGATAGATGACGATAGACAGACAGATATGCAAAAACTGATATTATATATATATAGATAAAGATAGATCGAGAGAGAGAGAGAGAAAAAGAGAGGGGGGAGGGGGGAGGGGGGAGGACGATGACAAGTTGTTAGATGGCTCCACACAAAGTTGGTCTAACTCAACTTTCAGAAGCGTGCCGCAGTAGAAAAATCGCGCATGGATAGAATCAAGTGCCTTGTGGAATTTAATACCCGTAAAAATATTGAGGAACCGAAAAATCAGCAGAATATCGCAAGTCTGTAAGGACAAACTCGGACGACAAGGAAAGGCGAATGAGAGTGGAAGGAAGAAGACCGGGTGGCAATGGCTCATACATCTCCATCTTCTCGCAACCTTGGTCAAACGCTCAACTGTTACAAGCCTTCAGTGGCCGTTAAATCACCAAGGACAAAGTGAAAGCCACCCAACAGCAAGAAAACTACAACGAACCCGGTAAAAACAAAGAACCGGGGACGGCTCTCGCGGCCCTCTCCTGACGAACTCGACGTGAAAGTCTCTGCTCTCCCTTCCATTGAAGTGTTTCACGATTCGTGGTCACTGGCTTCGCATTAATGGCGATTATCCTCGATCGAACGATGGAGACACGTTCATCTGTCAAACGCCCAGATGACACATTCTGGCGCATGTGGACTGCCACTTTCTTCATGTTCTTCCAAAACCCCTCCCAGAATTCCCGGACCTCGGTCTCCTAGTTGTCCAATCGAGTCGGTACTTATTTAAGGTTTTCACCTCAACACGCGCGTTTCTCTGCTTCTGCAGTCCGTCTGTCCGAGGGTCTAGTCTCTCTTGTACGAAACCTCTTGTTCAGTAGAATAAAACAGCGTTGCTCTACTTGCAATTGACGAGGTTTTCTCATTAGAGTGAGACTGTGCACGTTGTTTTCTCATTAGAAAACCACTTGATTTTAACAATGGGTAGGTTATTGTATTAAATGTTAACAGTAGTATCATATACACCAAATAGTTCTATTACGTTGTTTTCTAGAAAGCGTGACCTTCCAGTCAAAACCTACCCAATCGGGCATATCTTGACCTAATTGTTGTTATCGTTAGTGATCATGTTATATCGTTGCAGGAACACCATACCTCGGTCTGTTTTAGCGGTTGCTTATTTCCATCATGGCTTTAGGCATATTTATAGCCAATTTATGGACTATATATGAATCTCTAGGGACTTATTGACATGATTTCTCGTTGCTTGACATTAACTTTCCCTATCCATGCTAGTTGTCGCATATCTTATTTAATATTTTACAATGCTAATAAGAAATAAGAATCCAAGGATCTCCAAAATAAATGTTCCCAAGAATGCATGAACTGAAATCTAAAATGAAAAATCTAATTGTACGTCAAGGAGCAGGAGCTGCAGAGGCTCGGGATGGGCTTTAGCCTAATAAATCGTCCATTCGGGTGCCTCAAGCACTGCTTCCTATGAATGCTCGAAAAAGAGCGCTTCTCGTCGCTTAGCCGACGGAGGCACACGGTGTGCAGTAGATTCCGACTCTTGAGACGACTTGGCCTGTGGGTCTGTGGGATCCATCTCAGCTCAGAAGCCGCGAAGACCCTCACGGCAGCTCCTTGCCGGCGACAACGGACGACGGAGAAGACGCCACAGCCACCGCTCCACGGCAAGCTTTCTTGACATTTATTTAATTTCTTCGCGTCAGTGGGGATCTCAATAATCTGTAAATATCTTTCGTAGAATGAAACATGAGATGAACGCAACCCATCAACAAGAACGAGTAAGGATTCCTCCATTTCTTTACATCGATGTAATATGATTATAATAGTTGACCGCATGTACTCTTATTGATTTCTCACACGTGTAGCGATGTAAATACACGCATCAGAGCAATGTCCCACGCAACAAGAATTGGGATAATCGCGAGGAATTCTCTGAGGTTCGATCATGGCTCCTGATACGGCCCATGTGACGATGGCGACAAGAGGTCAACCAGCGACATGCGGTGCCAGCTCATCGGCTGGCACGATCGAGACGTGGGAAGCAGTGGCAGAATGGTGGGGTTGGAGAAGGCAGGATCATGCGACGATTAGGAGAGGACTGCACAGAGAGAGGGAGGGAGGGGTGGGGTGGTTTGGATCGATGCAGAGGAGCGATTTGCGAACTGCTAGTCATTGGATAAAGGCGAAGGAGATAAAAGGAAGACGACAGGGGAGAAGGGCATGTCTCACGGGCAGGACATGGGGAGGGAAAGCCCTTACTACGCTACAAAAGATAGATTCCTCCTCGGCTGTTCTTGTGACCAAGACGGTGTGGGAGACAGCGGGCGTTACGTCAAGCCCCTCATCCCTCTCCGCACCCACCTCAAATATCAGTGATCGACATGACCCCCCAACTAATACCTTTCCCTGCGGGGATGTTGGCGCAGCAGTTCACACGTGCGGTCATGCAGGGTGAGTGTGACCATGCTGCATGAGGTTTACGGCCGCTGACTATGCACCAACAACATCCATCGGTGGATTTAGTCAGGGCGACCAGAAGGTTGTCAGGGTAGGTGGAGGTCTCTCGAGCGTCACGCCCCAGCTTCCCGTCCCACCTTCCCACCCTCCCCCCTTCCAGAGTTTTTCTATGAAAAATAGAGCAAAAGCTGAAACAGTTTGATTTTTCTGCTTCCTTTCTTGATCGTTTTATACGCTCAACGAGGTCGCAGGCTCGATTATTTTCCGAGACAATTAATCCGATTTTTATCAATGTTAGGTCATGTGGGGAGATGCTTCTCACCCATCTGGGCATCGTATTCGACCAACGCTTGTGGATTAAGGACAAGAACGCCGAAAGAATCGGTGTAGACCATGGAAAGGGGGCCAAAGAGTGATGACTGCTACTCGGACTAATAGAAGGCCAACATATACATCTCAAAAACACAGCGGGCACTGTGGGACATAAACTAAGGCTACCCACACACAAAGTCATGCTATTTCGCCTCACTACCTTCCCGCCTAGTTCATATGCTCTCCATTGCCTAGTTCATGGATGAGCATAGGCTGTAGGGGTAGAACTTGAAGGGAACATCTCTCTCCTGGCTCGACTAGAAGGCCCTCGGCACACCTGGAGATTTCCAGCCGTGGCTCGTAAAACCTCCAGTAGTGCGCCGTAGTTGAAGTAAAAAAATCTCAAACTGTTTGGTGTAAATGTGCCTCTGTTGAAGAAGAGATACGGCTGTCTTGGTTGGCCCAAGGGGAGAGCATATTCTATGCATGTGCTTGACTCTAATAATGGGCCAGGCCACCAAGCACATCCTTTACAGAGCTCATATACTCCCCTCTATATAGAGAGAGAGATGGTCTTTAACCTGTCAAAGAAAACCTTGCTGGAGACTGGAGCTGACCCGGATACGGACCTGGTTTGCCCATGCTAAACCTATTTTTCTTCCTACATTTTATCTTGAGACCAAAGAGTGGAGGTAATAGGGGCGGGCCAGCCTTCTGGCATATGGGCATCCCTAGTTTGAAATGGAACATGGTGTCTTAGTGAGTTTACGGGGGAACAGACTCCAGTGCTGTCATGCTACTGCAGGTACCAGATATGAAAACTTGTAGGCTAAAAGGATCCCAATAGGCAACAGTGATAAATCAAGGGAAACTGTTACCTCATTTTTCTCATTAACCTGCATCAAGGCCGCATGGAGCAGGTTACCTGGATGGATGGATGGATGGATGATAGAAAGAAGAAAAGACTACTGAGAGAAGAGATTGAAGCTGTTTACACTTTCAGATCACTTGGAGAGTAGGTCATTCCCTCCAGTACCTGGCAAAAGGCAAGATAACATCGACATTGTAAGGACTTACTGTAAAAAAGAGAAGAAATCCATAGGGAATTCAACTACGAGGAATAGTGTTCTGTACCCTTATATGCATCTGCCCTTGCGCCAAAAAATGACAGAATAATACAATGAACAAAATAATCAGGATCCAAAACTTTCTCACTTGTAGTGTAAAAGCCCATCATCTTAAACAAGCAGGAGAGCGGACAAGATCTCCCCCATAGTCTTCTCAGGTGCGACATTCTCATTGCCCAGATCCGTAGCAGATTCTAGAACTGCAGCATCCAGGACGAGCTTCCGCTTGGCAATCTCATAGATGTTTTCATCAACCGTTCCCTTAGTAACCAACCTACAAATTTATATCAAAAATCTATGATCTATGAGTTCTAGATCAAGAACTGAGCAAAGAAAAAAACCATCATCGGTTCTGAGAACAAAACCGGTCAACTTGTATCGGGCTTTATTAAACCCGATATGCCCTCTTACGTATACGCGTGGCTTTTGGGCTTAGCAACGTAGACAGATGGAGTGGTATGCAGGTCAATTCCAACCCTTGGTCCTAATATGCTGTCTAAATTATCAGGTCATCCAATTAAAAATAAATTGAAAACCATTGGAGTAGGCTTATCTTTATAATTATAGGCATAGGTTTTGCAATATCCAGCACAATATTATTCCTAGCACACCCCTGCACGTGTGAGCCAAGTTTTAGGCTCTGTCACGCGGACAAAACAACTGAAGTGCAGGTAACAGGCAACCATCGACTCTTATATTATGTTGCATGTGCATTGACCCATTTACTTCAGAACCAATCGGATGTGGAGTAAATATGCTACATTTATAGTCACGATTTTGTTCTTTGAGTAGCTAATACGGGAATAGTGTAAATAATAATACAATCTTCTGCTGTCCCACAGATCTTCTAGTTTTGAGGCGGAAAATTGAGCCTTATCTCTCTCATGATGTGCTTGCAAAGAAACTAATAGATGGGAAGTTCAATGAAATACGAAAAATAGAAGAAAAAAGGTATAAATGCGAGGGCAAACACCGCACCACGTAAGTCCAGAAGTCGGATCTAGGACATAATGAAGTCATCACGAACATAATTTAAAATCAGAGCCAAGAAAGCAAGGAAAGTATCATTCTATCATAAATAAAATTGAAGATATAAGTTAACATAATTTTAAACGTAAAGAAAGAAAGCATGAGACCAAATCTCTGTCGATCCCAAAACTAGCTCGAAATATAGTTACTAAAAATCATTTTCCGTCATTCATAATTGATAAAAAGACTCCAAGAAATTCGATTTCCTGCTAAATAAAAAATCGTAACATAACTAAAATTAACATTTAGCACACTGCATTTTTTCATGCAAGTCACATTCCAAAAGGCGTAAAAAGTATGGTTGGACTCTTCACACTGAGTGTTCAGCCCTTTTAAAACAAAGCTTTCATTCGGAGGCCTATACACTGCACGTGTCCAATATCTGGCCTAATGCATGAGGAAGGATTGACTGTAGATCGTAAATTACATTTTATCAATGCAGGCACCTACCCTTTCTAAATATTTGATGACTGATGGATCACTCTGCCCAATGCAAGCACCCAAGCCTTTTCTCATAAAGGTTAAGAGATATAACTAAACAAACGAATTCCCTTGTTAGGAATCAACTATCACTTAATAGGTAGCACTCTCACTTCAAAATTTATCACAACTAAGATTCAATTTATAAGCCTTTGACCCCTTGTGCATGGCTCTCCTATCTGCATTACCTTGGCAGAAATAAGACTTATCCTCGCTCAAGCACGGCCCATGAACACTGAGTTTGATGTCTGGGAATATTAGAAGTTGATAAGGAAGAAAATAGGTTCTCTTCAGTGCGTTTTGATGGCAGTTGACATAAATGAAAGAAACAGGTTCAAATGAGAGCTTCTGTATTTCTAATGGAGCAGTTGGCTTCGCAAACCCAAAAAAGTATGAATGAAGCTTGACAATTAGTATATCATTATTCCCTGATAAAGTGCCTTCTAAAATCAGCACGAACTTAAAAAAATGTAACACCAAAGATATTATTAAATTGTGATGGCTACGCTGGGCAAGAACCAAATAGAACGAAATGGCATAAGACTACTGTTCCGATACATTCTTCAGGCGTTTCCGTTCTTCTTTTAGATGATAATTAATCGCTTCTTAACATTTTCTTTATTCCCATTCTGATGTAACACTTAAACGTACAAAGCTATGAGGAGATAACTCTGTACCTGTAAATAGTGACCGGCTTTCTTTGGCCTATACGATGACAGCGGTCTTCAGCCTGTCTATCTATTTGCGGATTAAAATCCATGTCATGTATGATTACAGTGTCAGCTCCAATCAAGTTCAGACCTTGTCCTCCAGCTCTAGTAGAGAGTAAGCATGCAAAGATAGAAGGATCATTGTTGAACGTGTCTACCAATGATTGTCTCTCTGAAACCTGGGTGCTGCGAAGCAGAGTAAAATCGTAAAATGCAAACTCTAAGCATCACAGCATCAAAGGATTACAGATCAGGGGATTATAATCTTTACCTGCCATCGAGACGACTATACGTGACTCCTATAACATCCAAAGTCCATTCTAAAATATCAAGCATTGATGTCCACTGGCTAAAAATGAGAACTCTATGCCCGTTCATTTTTAGTGAAGGGAGAAGTTTGGTTAACGCCTTGAAAAAATGAAATAAAATAAATAAGGAGATTAAAATAAAGGGTAATCAGTCTTCACACCAATATAATCATGAAAACAGAAACATGATATCATATGCATGAATAGAAAACTATACCTGGCATTTTGCCGAGCCAAGAACATGTATATCTGAAAGAGCTCCTTCTACACCAATGCCACCATAAGAAATTAAAAGCTGCAATTCACGTGGAGGAAGAGGTGTATTTATTTTTTGATAAAAATGAAAAAAATAAGCAAGTACTTTTCCCATTATTCAATAATAATCTAAGAAAAAAAAGGATACAATGTTCTGCCACAAAAGCTATCAATCATTTTACAATCCCATGGAAAATTCACAGTTGTCAATGCGTAAACACAGAGTGAACTGGTTGCAAAGATAGTAAAATTCGACAATAATAAATGGTCCCAGTAACCACTTCCCAATGAAACAAGAGCCTGGTCTATTTTATCAGTGAGGGTCACACTTTGAAGAATATTTTAACTTATTTGCGTAAGAATAAATTGCACCAATGCACATGGTCCAAGAAATCCACCTTTCACGAAAGATCAGCACTGTTCACTTTCCGTGTGAAAGAGAAGATTGTTCAAAAAACTGATTTGTATAGAAGTTCCACTAGAGTTTTCCCTCGACAATGGATTTTAGAAGTTTGCCCTCTTCACAACATATCTTCACTAGAACTATCATTTTATACAATTTTATACACCATTAATAACTTTAATAAGACACCATTCAACATTTAGATCGATATGCTAGGCCCTTTGAGCAGACCATTCAACATAACATTTTCAAAGTCTCTTATACGAAATGATAAATAAATATATATACATACAACTCTGAAAAAAATGATGAGTTAAAGATGACCAAGGCACATGCTGCTGACACACAAAATAATGATAAAAACAGTGTCGACAGATAGGAATCTACTTGGCGCATACTTAACATATCATCCTACCTACCCAGTAAACCTTCTCCCCATCAATTGTCTATTTCAAAATTTAATCGGTCAAGATTGATGCCAAATTTGGCATCTCATACACATCAAGGATACCTTGTTTCTCTTCATGTCTTTTTCTCATTTCATGAAATAAACTTTAATGAGATGTATCATCAGAAAATATAACGTGCCTAAAACATGTTGGTTTTGATAAATTTTCTAAACTTATTAGAGCTCAGTTTGAAGTTCCGAAGTGAAAGGACACATTGAGTTGCACATGATCATTTCAAAACGAAAAGCGGAACTGACAATGTTGAAAACCTATAACTAATAGTTCAAAATAGTGTGTCATATGGATGTAATAGAACCTCACTCGGTATGACTATATCCCCACATTAATGGCAACTTTGTTTTTGCTTGTTCTGATGGTTAGTCGAGTAACAGCAGCATTATACACTGCATTATAACATAATGGATTGGATAGTCTTTCATCAAGATAAGCGGCTCATACGAAACTTGGGTTGCCATTCATGTGGACCACGCTAGTTTTTGTAGTGTAGAGAAAGGATCCACACAAAACATACCAACAGAGCATATTAATGTCTAAAATCGATTCATACCAATGGCGAGAATTATACCCAAGCAAAAGGCTAATGTTTTGGACATTCTGCATGATGGTCTTTGTAGTGAGAAGAGATCATGTATTTAACGAACATGAATACGGTAAAGAATATCAAAAGAGATAAAAAAAATGTTGAATATAATTTACTAAGATTTACAATCACAACAGTCTAAAACGCATGGTATAAGACGATTTCCTCTCATAAACAGACATGCATCATGCATCCTAAATAGTAACTCTAATGACTATCTACAACAACCATTCCGCTTTTCTCATAAATTCTATCCCATGCAAAGGAACTCCTTCAAAGAAGATCAACCAAAGCCAAACATCAGATCAATCAAAGAATAGACTTGTGGCTTCGTGGTCTATGGATTTTGCCAACCAGATGAAGCTGAACTGATCCAACCCAGATTGGAATCGGTAATCCCAATCAATTTGGCTTGATCCAGGTGCATGCGAACCAGTTGTTAGGAAAACAGTATTTATAGATTAATAAAAAAGGAATTAATGATCATTTTTATCAGCGCTCAAGGAACTGTAAATTTTCACCTCGTACGATGTCACATCTTCATCCAACCGTTGCACCTCCCATTACATCCTCACTATCAAGTTTTTTCTCCTTTTTCGTCATTTATGGACATGAACAGCCTTCTGTTCCTTTGTTCCTTCCTCTCCACAGAAAAAAAGAAAAAGAAAACAGACAGATTTATATTTTCCCACGTCTTTCTTCTCCTTTTCCTCTTCTACCACCCTTTTACCTGGCTGGGCAAATCCCGGAAATAATCAGGAGAACAAGAACAAATCCATGTCTCTTATAGCAATAAACTGAACAGGATCTCGACAGACTTTCCAGGCAAGACAATTCCAGGCACAGCGAAGGATCCTCCTCATGGTATATAATGAAACTAGCAAAAAGTTATTTGCACAAAAGGGAAAGCTTAGCATCATACGTTACCTGATGGATCTCATAGTCATTGTAATTCATGATCTCTTTAATTACTTTTTCCAAACTGCATTCGAAACCAAAAACCCCCCTTGGGTATAGCTTTTTTGCAACACGAACAACATCCTCATCTTTGTACACACGCCTCAGCAGTAATGGATGGTTTGCAATCTGGCAGATAATTACGACCTCAAAATGAAAAATAGAAGCCACCATTGAAAAATAAATTTCTGAGAACCAGAAAAGAAACCATAACATGAAAACAGGAAGAAAGTTTTCTCCAACAGGCACAATTTTACCTTGCGAAACTGCATGAAATAGTTTGATATCTGGCGGTTGGGAAGAGGGGCAATGTTATTATTCGTAGTACCGCTGGGGAACTTATTTGCTCGAGCCTGGGTTGCTGCACGGTATTCACATATTGCTTCATTATAACACTCACTCTGGTCAGCAACCATGTAGACGTATTCAACCTGAAACATCTAAATTAGCCATTTTAAAATAGCCTAAAAACTGTAAAGCGTTGAACAAGACTGCGGGCTCTCTTTACAAGTTATCCTGGAAGTAAAGAAGATGATTTAGAGTTGAAGATTGGACCCACCTGTTGTATTTTTGGTGAGAGTTGCTGCATAACATCAGATTTTAAGCGCCTCAACACAAAGGGCCCCATAATAGATTTAATACGGGCAATTAGATCATTGTCTTCTGCATTTAATCGCTTTTTTAGATCAGCGTCATCATTTGCAAAAATGTCAGGCATCATGAACTCCAGCAAAGACCATAACTCCTGCAATGAAATGTCACATATCAATGAATAGCGCAGTAGCAACCAAAAAAATATCAAAACGAATACAACAGACCGGTTTGTGAAAAAAAATTGGAACAGAACTGTGCAACGAAGATAAGCTTGTATGCATATGCTGACTCCAATGTATGATCAGCTTATAACAGCACTTACTACATACAGTCATACCACGTAGCCAAACCCTTGCCGCATCCCCAGGGTGATGTCTAGCTCTATATGCTCTATGGAATGTATTAATTGAGAAATCTATAATAAATCCCATCTTTGTATCTACAATAGGAAAGATATCAGCAAATGGTCATTTTCCTTTTTACAGAGGTAAACACACTTTGATTTCATTTTGTCATGACCAGATGGCAAATGCTAAAAACTAAGTGGCTTTGAGGACACAACAAATGGCCCATTCAAGTTCTCTCCCACATTCGTATGAAAACATTTTTCAATACACACCAAAGATGACGAATTGGCAATTCGAGGAAGATGAACTGATTATAGAAGAAATATCCAACCAATTTTTTTCCTGATACCACCAGAGCAATTTATGGACCCTAATACACACTTCAGTAAAAATGAAACACATACAATGTGGCCTAAGTCCACAAAACCCAGGTTCACGTATCGTACAAGGATGCCAGGATAAAGGTTGAATAATCATCTCAATTGACACCCATCCTAACCAGTAAATATTTACAGTCGTAAAATCGGAAATATTTCAATGTGGCAGAATAACAGAATCCACTTCTCCAATACTTTGCTGCAGCAGAAAATATTGCCGACTGTTCCTTGCAAGAGATAAAATATTCTAGCACATCCTGACATCACTTCTACGTTGAGGTCCTCTAATGTTCCACAAACCTCAACGGTGTCCTTCCCGCCATATATATAATGATTCTTCCATTTTTCTTCTACTTCCAACGAAACTATATTGCTGTCTAAGAATTGAGAAATGAAAAGCACGAGTTCTGCAAGCCCTCGTCCACATCAGATCCATTTTGATTGATAAAAGCTCATTTCGTACCTTAAAGAAATTTAATTAACGCGAAAATATTACCTGCGAAAAAAAATAATGACCAGTATTGTCTTAACAGTCCATAATTGATAGCAATGCTTCTCATGAGAAATGACAAATAATTTAAGAAAAATGTTTGCGGGCTGACACTTGTAAAGTAAGCAACTAATGCAAGACAATAGTTCATAGATTTACATATAAATCATTTTGAAGTGGTGTTCCTGTCAGCATCAAGCGTTGGCGTGCGGTTTTCGCGATAGACATCAGGCTTTTCCAACGATAGCTAGATTTATCTTTCAGGGCATGAGCTTCATCCATAAGCACACAACCCCATTGCCAGTGCTTCAACACCTTACGATCATCTTTCTGGGGCCCACTGCATGGAGTGAAAAGTAAATATAACGCTGGAACATAATTATAAGATTTCAGTGGAACAAGAGAAATCCTGAAACAAGTAAGAAAAAGATATATAAACTCACGTACATGCGTCGCTCGAATAGTGAATAACATGTTACAAGAACATTGAAAGGAGGAGATAGGCCAGCCTTGCCTAGTGAATTTAATTCCTTTGAATACGCTGTTCTCCCAGCACCGTGAAATAAGATGATAGAAAATGAGGGGCACCACTTTTTAAGTTCTCTCTCCCAGTTTTCTAGAAGAGAAGCTGGGCAAACGATAAGGTGGGGTCCAGGATCGTTGTCCAAGTGTTTTAGCAGATTTAAGTATGTCACAGCCTGGGGGAGAAGCAGAGATATTAGAAAGACTTAAATTCCCATAAATGAAAAGAAAGAAATTGCCTACCTGCACAGTTTTACCCAGGCCCATTTCGTCTGCCAAGATGGCTGCACGTAAACACAACATAAGAAGCTGACAATGACGGGATGAATGAGAAAAAATTGATAGAATATAGACGGTTTGTGGTTCGTAATAGACCCAAACCCTTGCAATATTAAGGATAAGCGCGGTATAGAACTATCTCATATTCACATCTCTCAAAATAACTGCAAAAACTTGAGAGACACTGATATTATTAAATGTTTAAATACTAAATATATAATCCTCCACAGCTCTGTCTCTAAGGACCAGGAGAACTCTGTTCTATACGAATGTGTTGCTTCAGATGTCACAGTACACGATGGAATCAGACTTTCTGCCTTGATAAAAATAACTACCACCATTTGTACTACAGTCCTGTCAAAACTTTCCAGCGTTAAGTCTTTGGACTTCGTCTCTTGTGGGATTAACAAAGCTAAGAATTACAGGTGACTTTTTCGTCTCCGACACTCCTAAAAACCTCTCATAGATGAGCAAGCAGCAGTAAATTGTCATTTCAAAAAAAATTAACAAAGTAAAGATCAGAAACCCGTAACAGGTTTTATAGCTTTGTAACTTTCTTCCTGTTCTACGTCTCCACCTTGTGCATTGTACCACACCCTGGACGCATAAGACGAAGTCCCAAGAGGGGCCAGTATATCCATAAGCAAGACAAGCCTGCTACTGCCCCTAGGTGACTACTTTAATTAGGATGATATGGGCAATTGGATTGAAACAATCTGAGAAATCTTCTTGAGAGAAATCATATTTTAATAAAAACTACTACAGATGGATATCGCTGGTCTAATTGGACTACAATTGATAGACAGAACGAGCTGACAGAGGTTACATATGTTTGCAAGCAGTCCAGTCCTGAACTTCAACAGATGAATATCCCTTGTCCAATTCGTCTACATTTGGTGTACGGGAGTCCCAACAGAAGTACAATACGTGTTTAATAGTTCAGAGATGAAAAACTAGAAACAGGTGTCACAGTGCAGCATGCCATTTTAGCTCTTTTAGTTGATGTGTAAATTTAGAAAAACACCCGCAAATATTACGCACCTCCACCAATTCGTTTTCTATAGAGTAGGAGAAGAAAGTTAACACCAACGAGCTGGTACGGCTTAAGAACTGGCTCAAAGTCCGTTGCTAGACATGTACATGCGGCATCTATGTCCCCCTAAAACAGGAAACCGCGGTTAAAATGCATGGCCCCAGTGATCTCAAAATTTAAAGATGAAGGTCAATCAACCATACTGAAATGTGTACCTGGGTAACAATTCTAGCTGCCGAAGCATCTACCTCGGCGTACCTTTCGCAAGAAGAAACCGAAGAGCCATAAAGCTCCTGCCGCAGAGCAGCGGATATCTTACCGCACTTCTGTAGAGCTTTTCCAACTAAATCCTCCCCCTCCCACTCCCCGCCCTCTTCCTCCGCCTCGTCCCCACCGAAGGTGAAATCCTCATCGTCTTCCCCCGTGGACCGGATCTCTACTACCTCAGGCAAGACCTCCACGTCACTGTCCTCGTCTACGACAAACCGGCGCACGCGACCTCCGCCCTGCGCCGGGCGAACTACAGCTGCTTCCTCCTCCTCTTCCTCCTCCAAATTGAACGCCCTCCCGGCCGAGCAAACCCCGGTCTGCTCCTCCGACGGTTTGCACTTTCCAGGCTGATAAGCAAAGGATTCGATCGGCGGCCGCGGGCAATCCAACTTTTTGAACACCCGAGAAGTCCCGAACCTGTGGTTCTCCCACTCGTCGTCGGATATCCAGTCGAAGACGCGCTTCATCACGCCGGAGAGGGACCCGACGGATCGGAACCCTAGAAACCTGAGGGCGCCGCCTGGAGCCCAGACTTTCCGGCGGAGATCGAGCTGAGCGCGCTCAGCAAGCTGCAACGGGGGACCCGCGCGCGCTGAAAATACGGCCGTTCGAAGCCGCGAAAACGGAGACCCGCCACTTTTTATTCTTCCACTCTCCCCCGGGGTTTCCGTCCTTATTTTATAGCCCAAAATTACTCCTCAAATTACCGATGAAGCTGAGTCATGAGCGCAATAAGTTCGTTATTGGGCCTTCAAACATGTTATAGCCCATATATGGTAACAGGCCCGTCCAGGGCAACTCGCTCTCGCCCAGTAGACCAGAAAAATTAGGTTGGTACCAAATCTCATAAAGATGTTGAAAATGAGCTCGGTATCACTGCCATAAATGATTCCTTGTATAACTAGGTCGCTCCTCTTCTAATGAAAAACGGCTATAAGTCTTATTAATTTGTCAACTCTGGGGTCCATTTGAGAGTGGACTGGGCTTCCACACACGCTTTCCACGCGGAACCTTCTTCGGATAACGACCCGTACGCTGGTTCTCCCTCCCGTCAGGTCTGCATGAGACCGCCCTAAGAAAGATGGCGGAAACGACCACGAAGAAGAAGAAGAAGAAGAACGATGTATTGCCTACGACGGAAGCCGAATGCCTGCCGTAGATTTGACTTGACCACCGGCCGATGGCTCCAGTCGGACTGTCTCGTAAGAACGCTACCGCATCTGCGACCATCCACGTGGTCAACGACGCAATTAGCTATTATACTTTCTATCCACTTTCCTTGGACATTTCTGCAACTTGGTCAACATGCCTCGTCCGAGGATCGATTCTGCAGGTAGGTATTTGATGGATATTTCTGCAACTTAGACGACGACGAAAGGGTTGATCCGTGGTCCCTTTCTTCTGTGGGGCAAAGAAGCTGTCTTTCGGTTTTATTATTGCACGTCGGCACCTAGTGAAACTCACCAGCAGAAACCTCGACGACAACCTTCAACCTTCTCTGACAACGATCATCGTTGTTGACTTCAGTGGAACAAAGATAGTAATAGTCCATTGTCGCTTCACGGAAAATATCTTACATATTAAAGGAAAAGACCATTAGGGTGTCTTCTAAGGGGTATTTTCGGCGAAATTAGCTTCCCTTCATCTACGTTTCCATGGGTAGGTCGTGCCCACTGATAGACCATATCTGCAGATTTGCAGAAGGAAGCACAGTGACGAGGGGATCGTCGATCGGCGGCGCATGTATTCCTGTTTTCCCGAAGAGGTTCAAAGTATGGGACAAGGAATCGTCTTCTGCGGTCTTCACGGGTACCGGTTGCTGCTTCGTAACACAGGGAGGGTTTTAAAGAGACTGTCCATGGAGGAGCTTTAAAGAACTAGGTTCTGCCCTTAACAGAGATCAAAAGGTGACAAGCTGTAGATTCCGCCCATCCGGGGGAAGAACAGCATCTCCGTCTCTGGATCTCATCGATGAACGAGGAGCTGCGTGGATTGGGTTTTTGAAAGTGGGGAGTAACGGATGGATAGCCGGTTCATTGGACTCTGGTTTGGCAAGCTGACCATCCAGCGGCGGTCCAGTGCCGTGGAGTCACCTGGATGGGTGATCGATCTTGCCGAGCCATCTTCAGCTGACGACGACGGCACGACTTTAGCATGCACGAATTGATTCCACTTAAAACAGAACGATTCGATCGCACCACGAGCGACAAGTAACTGTGTCCATGACGTATTGGTACACACATAAGTTGACCATACCATGCATCTGGTAGTGTTCCAGTTTATTGGCAGACAAACTGGACGGGGAAAAGAAGAGGGAGAGGCCAGAGATCGTCACTTAGTCTAGTCAAGCTTTACGGGGACTTGCTCCGAGTTGGACTTTGGTAACGGAATCGAATATGTTGTAAGAAGATACCCAGGAAAACAGTGATTGACTACAAGGGCGGACGGAGTGGATGCTGCTGCGTTACGATTTTTGCACGGGAAGGTGTTCCTTTTCTCTTTTTGCATCATGGCTAGCAGATGGAGCCTCAGAGGCGAGACATAGCGAGAACTTCCTCTTGGACGCGTTCACGGCGGTGGTCGCTCTTCTGGCTACGGGGTGTAGCCGGCTGGTGGCAAGTTTCTGTGACCGTCAGGGTCTTGGTTCTATCTCTGAGGAGAAACTTCTGGATCTTGCCGTTGGTCTTAGGGAGCTCCTCTTCGAACACCACCTTCTTGGGAACCATGAAATGTGGGAGGTTCTCCCTGCAGTAGGAGATGATGGCTTTTTCCCCCACGCTCTCCTTGTCAGTCCCCTTCTTGAGTGTGAGGAAGGCGCAAGGTGTCTCGCCCCACTTGGGGTGCGGCATCGCCACCACGGCGGCTTCCAGCACCGCCGGGTGGCGATAGAGCACGGACTCCACCTCTACGCTGCTGATGTTCTCGCCCCCGGATATGATGACGTCCTTGGAGCGGTCTTTCACCTCCACGTACCCATCGGGGTGCATAACCCCAACGTCGCCGGTGAAGAACCAGCCTTCCCTGAAGGCCTTGGACGTTTCGACCTCATTCTTCAAGTAGCCCTTCATGATGCTGCTCCCGCGGAGGACGATCTCCCCCTGCGACTTTCCGTCCCGAGAGACGCTGGCCATTGTCACGGCATCCTTCACGTCCACCTCCGCCAGCGTGAGGACGCTGATGCCCTGACGGGCCTTCAGCTCCGCCTGCTTCCCCTGAGTCAGGAGGTTCCACTCGTGTCGCCACTCGCAGACCAACGCCGGCCCTGTCGCCTCGGTGAGGCCGTAGGCGTGGGTGACGTTGAATCCTACCCGCTCCATTTTCTGAAGCAACGCCGCCGGTGGGGGCGCACCCCCGGTGAGAACGCTGACCGGAGCGGTGATGGGGCGCCGCTCGTCGGGGGAGGCCTCCAGGAGGATGTTAAACACCGTGGGAGCGCAGCACATGTGAGTCACCCCGTGATCGGTGATGGCCCGATACATATCGGCGGCGCACGTGTTGCGGATGCACACATTAGTTCCCCCACGGGCGGCGACGCCCCAGGTGAAGGTCCACCCGTTGCAGTGGAACATAGGGAGGGACCAGAGATAGACGGGCTCGCAGCCGACCCCCCACTGCAAGAGAAGGCTCATGGTGCTCAGGTAAGCCCCCCGGTGGCTGTACACGACCCCTTTGGGCGCTGAGGTCGTTCCTGAGGTGTAATTAAGCGAGATGGGATCCCACTCGTCGTCGAGCGAGTGCACCGGCTGGCGCGGGTCGCCAGCTGCCACCAGCTGCTCATACTCCAGCTCTCCCAAGCGTATGCCCGTAGGGGCGTCGACGTCGTCAATGACCACAAGCAGGGGGAGCGACGACCCGTCCGAGGGCCCCCGCTCGGCTAGGTATCTGAGGGCGTCGCTTGCGAGCCGCGAGAACTGGTAGTCCACGAAGAAGACCTTGGCCTCGGAGTGGATCAGGATGCTGGCCACGTTCCTGCAGTCGAGGCGAGTGTTGATGGTGTTCAGCACGGCGCCAGCCATCGGCACCGCGAAGTGCATCTCGTAGAGTGCCGGCACATTGGGCGCAAGAACGGAGACCTGACAACAGAAAAAGAAAACGAGGAGAATCAGCAGATGGACGTTGAACTTCGCGGTTCATGAACATCTTTTGTCTGATGCTCGGACGGAGGGGAGGGAACTTCAGGGCTGACCACGTCGTTCTTGGATATGTTGAGAGAACGGAAGGAGGCGGCGAGGCGGCGGCATCGGTCGTAGGTCTGCCTCCAGGTGAAACGCGTGCCTCCGTACACCAGGGAGGTACGGTCGGAGTAAACGGCGGCGGCCCTCTCCAAGAAGGTGACGGGTGAGAGGGGGACATAGTTGGCTCCGCACTTGGGCAGCTTGTCCATTGCAGTTTAACACCAAATCTCCAGGGGAGCCTTGGGACGAGATCACCCGAGAGGAGAGGAGAGGAGAGGAGAGGGAAGGGAGAGATACAGAGGTGGAGGGAGAAACCCGAGGAGAGAGGAGAAGAACAGGATCCCGAGGTGGGTATGTCCTGGTGGCGGGCAAACGCAATTTATAGAGGACGGAGGAGGGAGCGAGCTGGTTCGATCAGCGGTGAGGATTAGAGATGCTCCCTCCTCCCATCTCACGTAATGATTCTGGTGGGGTCGGCATGGGAGTAAAAAGACGAAGGGGGGCGGCTGCGTGGAAATTGAAGTGGAAGCTGCACTCAGTTTCCTGTTGGGTTTGAATATAGACCGTTGACCTTCCCCCCTTTTTCCCTCCCTCCAGCCATCGGCAGCGCCGCGGATTTATCCGCGAGTAATCACATCCTCTCTCTCTCTCTCTCTCTCTCCTCACCGCCCGAAAGTCCTAAAACTAGTATTCCTGGGACGGTAAGTAGAAAAAGGAAAGCTCACCGCTGATCTTAGCAAGGTTGCTCCTTCAAATCCGTTCGTATCATCAAATACTCTCTCGCTTCCGTGTACGCGGGAGACTTCGAACCCGCAATGAGCAAGACGAAGGCTGAAGTGTGAATCCCGACCCACAGGAACGAAGGGCCCCTGATCGCGGGTCCCGCCCATCATCTCGCGCACAGCCAACGGAGGCCCCTCCTAGCGGCCGCCGCTCCTCACAGGCGCCTTAGCTGACCTTGCTAACTCTGGTCTAACCTTCTGGATTAAAGAAAACTAGCATGATTAGTCAGTTCGTCCACCGCTTGGACCAGGTAAACAGATGGAAGTTGCAGGATGATTGTATGGTAAATGGAAGAGAAAGGTGAAGGAAAATAATGGGAGGGAAACTTGGAGAGAATATATTGATTTTGTGGAAAGAATGGTTGAAGGAGGAAGAGTGAAGAAAATGGATTTTGCGCACACTGAAACCCTAGAAAACACGATACGTCGTAACTTACATTCCGTGAGGAGAGAGAGAGAGTATTTATAGCACAACTACCTCATGTGGGCCAGTTTCCTTTTTGACCCACTAAAGACAAACTAAAACCCACTAAAAACCAAAAGCCACCTAACAAGGACGAAACAATGTTTTTCCTTGTTTGCATTAAATACTAACAAAAAGTCCACGGCAAGCCTCGCGCCATCCTCTACCTCAGAACAACGAGGAACTCGCTTGGTCCGCCGGGGAAACGCCCAACATCTTCTCGTAGACGACTAAGATCAACAAAGAATCGGAATGGGTGATTTAACTACGGACTTTCCTAGAAAACCCACGTTAGCTATAATCAATAGTAACAATATGGTTGTCGATATTACAGGAGATTGCATGGGTGTCAAATCAGTGTGTGAGATCATCAAAGAAATTATCAATGATAACCGTAGGCAGGAAATTCGTAGAGGAGATTATTGTTAATCTGAGAAAGAAAGGGAGGAGAGAAGATGGCAACGGGTTGAAGAGGGGGGGGGGAGGAGAGATGAACGGTCTAGACCAACGAAAATGGGTCAAACTGCCCTCGGAAACGTGTCTTAACTATGCAATTTATAAGATGGGTAAATGACTCAATATGAGGTAAGTATGATAAGACCTTATCGACCTATCTTTCTACGATCCCCCTCAAACTCATGATGAGGGTAATCACTAAGAGTTTGTCAAGAATAAACTGAAAACAAGATATAGCATAAGTATATGTAAAGAAATCAGTCAACTACAATGAGGATTGAACATAAGGCAATGTGAGTGTTGAGCTGAAGCTGATGTCGAATAAAATGATAGTCGATTTCAATGTGTTTCATAACCTTATGAAAAATTAAATATGAGCAATATAAAATACACTTTGTGTCACAATAAGGAGGAATTAGAGTAGATTGTGATACTTTTATATTGTACAGTGGCCAAGATAACTAAATGATTTATGTGATAACATAAGCTATAAATATATATTATACTTCAGTAATATAATGAAAAGTAACACCTTATTTCTTACCTTCCACAAGATGAATAATCATCGAGAAAAATACACCAACCAGTTGTAGATATATGGTCAGTAATATCTTTGACATGATCAGCACTAGAAAAGGTATGAAGAGTCAATGAAGAATGTAAAAAGAAAATAAATACTTGAGTCTATGTACCACAAAGATAATGTAGATTTTTTAAGATTGTAGCCTAATGAGTAGAGCAAGGTGTGAAACAAAATTGAGTAACAATATATGCTACAAATTAGATATTTGAAAATGTGACTATAAAATAGACAAGTGATTGAACAATCTCATGATAAGGAGTTGAATCCTCTAACTTGAGGAGAGTTTAGAGTTCAACTCAAATTTAGTATTAACTATGTGTGTCAAAAATATCAACTCAATCTAGCAAGTCTAGTGTATATTTTGATTGTGAAATAATATTATCTTTTATGAGGGGAAGCAATTGTAATCCAAGAAATAGCAAATATTGTTAAGATCTTTCACATCAAATAAGTCATGAAGTTTAGTTTTAATACAAATAACATTCTCAGAGTCATCACTTGTAATAATCTTGTTAGCCACATATAATAAAATGATTTGTCTGTGAGTAGTAAATGAACATGAATTATAAGTAAATAACAAACTGAAACTTGTCATAGCATGTTTGGGGAGAGTACTTAAGATCATAGTGTGTGAGATGAAGGTAACATACATAGCCTGAAGGGAGAGAGATTTTGAGAGGATAAGACATATATACTTATTCAAGAAGATCTTTATTAAGAAAGACATGTTCACATCAAATTGATATAATGGCCAACTACAAAATCTAACAACACATATAAGGATTAGAATAGATGTCATTTTGATAATAAGAGTAAATGTCTCTTCATAGTTAATAATCATTATGTTCATCTATTTATTTTTTTACCAAAAATATAATTTTAAAGTAGTTTATAAATTAATCTTAGTTTTAATCGTATATATCTATTTAATATTATATGTTTGCTTTAAGAATGGGAACAAGGTCCCAAGTGCCAATTTGATAGAGCGTATCAAGCTCTTCTGACATATAAATATTCTTCCTTAAAAGATGTAGACTCAATAAAAGAGTGAATAATAAATAATAAAAATAAAAATAAAGAGTCTAGATGGAATTAAAAGACACATATTGAGTAGGTTATCAATAATTCCAAGTGAGAAGAACGTGACATTCAAAGGTAAGAGATGAAGGGGGACCAACAAATTGGAGAAGAGGAGTTAACAAGTCAATTTCCATGTTTCTTTTCATGATGATGAAGTAATGTTATTAGATAACTTAGGTAATGGAAAAAGGACCAAAAATATATAAGAATGGACTAATGAATTATGTTTCAAGAACGTCAATTTTTAAGTAAGAAGAGATATTGAGAAAAGGATAGTATGAAATATGCTCTATTAAAATAATGTGTCATGATGTGAAGAGAAGATAAAAAATAAGATCATAATGTTGATAATATTTCTGAAAAAATTAAGGCAAAGCAAGACAATCCAAATACACAATGAAGACTAATTAAGATGTTAATTATACTATGATTTAAATAGAGATAAATTAAAAGTGAGGCAAAATGAGGGTACATGAGAGGAGAGGATCAAGGGGTGAATAATTTCAACAAGATGACAATGTTTAAGATTATCTCATTTTGTTGAGGTGTATAAAGATATGAGGTTTTATTAGTGATTCTTTCTAATGCAAAAAAGATATGCAAACATTTTAGGCATGTATTTTTTCACTTGAGTTAGATTGAGAAGTGTCGATTGATTTCTCAAATTATATTTTTATCATAATAATAATAATAAATATATAAAACATCAAAATATTTTGATATATAAATATTTAAGTATAACATGTAAAGTCATCAATAAAGATAACATAATTACAAGACCCACCCTTAGCAATCAATGCTAGTATGAACCCAAATCTCAAAATGACATAAATTATAAAGAGTAGAGCTACAAGTAATAACAATGCATTTAAAATTTATTTCAAAAATAATAAAACTCGAAATAATTCACAATCAATTTTGCAAGAACCATTGATGAAACTTGATTCCATCAATTGTTCTTCACGAGCTGACATCATCCAACATCAGCCAATTTCAAAGAAAAAGAATTTAAATTTAGTTTTTTCAAATAAAAAATTGTAGAAATTAATAGTTATTAGAACATTATGCAATTTTGCTAAAAAAATAAGATTATTCATGTGTTCAACTAGAGAAATCCCATCAATTTTATAGTTAATTCGTTAAGATACTTAATGTTGACTGATCTACAACACTAGTCCTCATCTATATTCATAATCTTCTACTTGTAGTTATGAATATTTTTTATTTTAATTACCTTTTTATGAAAATAGCTACATTCATCAACATGAATGAGATATAGATTTTTTATAAAAGTTTATGGTAATTATTAGCTACAACCATCATAAGTGTAGATCAAATACATTAATAGAATTATGTGTGGCAAATGAGTTTCTTCATCTAGTAATTCATTGACTATATCACAAACTATAGCTAAATGAAACCTTTAAAGATCCATGAATAACTTTAAAATCGTCTTGAAGCATCACTAAGAATTGTACCAATCTTTTTTCTCACAATGTTGTATAGAATCATGATTACTTTGATAAGAATAAAATTATTAAATATATTGGATGCTTTGATGATCAGCCCTTATATCACCCTCAAGTTGATATTCTTTTGGAAAATTATATTGTGTACAAAGACAAACTAAATAGTCTCATGCAGCATTTTTTGATATTTTTTTTGCTAACTGTAGACCAATAGACTGCTTTATAGAGTTATTAATCCATGTAAGAATTTAAATTTTCACATGTCATTCCTATATTTGGCGATCCTATTCAATCATTACTATTGAAGAAGATTTGTCATCACATAACTCCAATATGAATCATTATTTTTATTTGATCAATTAATAATAGTTCTCAATTCATCAATTATCTCTATTTATATTTAAGAAATAAATTATGAAGATAAATGCAAATCAATATCCAATAATCATTGATTTCAGTAAATGATCTTAATATAAAAAAATATACTCGAAGTAAGTGAATTTTGAGAATTTTTTTTAATACAAAGATATAGATTATCCAACTTAGTGATTCAGACATTGTTTAGAATAATTTTTGCTTTCCTGATTTTCCACTTGATGTGAATAGAACGATATATGCATTGTAATGTAATTGAGATAAATGAGTGGAAAATAAATGTTGAGATATAGAGACTAAGAAAGAGTAAACCAAAAATAGATGAGAGAGAATTATAAGAAACCTATGGCACCGTGCTTTTCCTCAACCAAGTGGATTGGGTGATCGTTCCGAGAGAGATAATATTAAAAGAAAACGGTTCAAAGCAAAGAAATCTAAATGATGAGTGGCTCTAAGGCCATATTAAGTTGAGGAAGAAAGGGAGAGAGAAGAGAGGGCAATGGGTCGAGAGGAGGCAGGAGAGAGGAACTATCGAGACAAATGAAAATGGGGCATATCGTCAGTTCAGAACGTGTCCTAAACTATGTTATTTATAAGATGGGTAAATGGGCAAGCATAAGGTAAGTTTGATACGCCTTAATGGGCCCATCATTCTAACAACTAGGTTGGGGAGGGGGGGGGGGGATATGTCATCTCTCTCTGGTAGGGCGTCAGGATCCTATTAATCATTTCGCTGCTAGACCATAAGAACTATAAATAAATTATAGATAATATACACTTCACTATCTAAAAGAGGCCCTTGCGGGGTGTGCAATACACATACAAGAATAAGTCATATCTAGCAGCCACACAACGCATGTGATGACGTGTGGGGTCAACCCCAGTTCACTCTTTTTCTCACCCTAAAAGAAGTGTTTGGTCTTTTTTTTTTTCCCGAATAATTCGATTTTTTTTACGACAAAAGATGGACAAAAATTTGGCTATTACACGATTTGAAGTCCAAGTTTTTGTGAGAAAATCATTGCATCAAATAGTTGTGCCAACTCCTGGGGCCACTGACGGTTCGGACCTTGATGGGCCCAATTTGATTCTCGTAGAGTTAGTGTGGGTTCACAGAGACGCCCATAAATTGGGTTCAACGTCCAAAATGGGCCTCCTGTTTCATTGTGCGACGAAGTGAGCCAAGTTTCTACAAAATGGGCCGATTCCTTTTCTAGCCCAGCGCGACGTAATTTTGGGCCGAGTCGGCGATGGAGGCGTTCTAGAATTCATGTCGAGCCATGCATTACATCACTTTGTTCGCTATAGTAGAGGAACGATCGACACCTCTGTCCTTCTTATTGTGCTCTTATGGGCCGAATAGGGAGTGCCCGATATAATATAAACATGCACGGCCTTGTTTGTGCCGAGATAAAACACCTGCGACGCCTACTCTGGCCCATGATGGGGGCCCAAGATGCGCCATATGATTACAGGTCAGCAACAAAAATTTTATTGCAAAACCCCTAATGTACTTTTTTTTGCGAAGGTACTCTTCCCCATAAATTCCCTCTTTTGTGCCACTAAATATATAAAATAAAATAATAATAATTCACGATGGTCTGACCACGTTTCGATGGCCATTAATTAAGCTGGTATCTGATGGCGAGCTCCATTAATTGATTCGGCAGCAGCGTCTACCAACACGTATTTCGCAACCGCTCCCTCTCTCTCTCTCTCTCTCTCTCTCTCGCTAGAAGGCTCTTACTTTTCACCCACGTGCTAAGGCCTCGCCAGGTGTGACGGGGAGGCCTCTGAATCGGGCTGTGGCCCTAATAATGCTTTGCAATTATTTTAATAATTTATTTCATTAAAATGGTAAGAAATGCTAAGGGACGCGCCTCGGTAAATCAACGTAAATAGTGCTTTCCCGCATATATACACGTCGTCGATTTGGGCCGAAGATGGGAGAGGCCCAAAAAGGATGGTTTATGAGCCTGCGTACTGGAGTTTTTCGCCCAGCCCAGCAAACGAAAACAGCGACTTTCCTCCCTCGTATCGGCACTCAATCGCCCCACACCGCCGAGACACTTCCCTCTCTCGCTGGCGTCGGCATCACCGTCTCGGAATCCGCTCCATCCCCGTGGAGGCTCCGAGGAAGCGAGGAGCTTGGCTTCCCTGTTGCGTCATCGGTGTATCTCCAAGCATTGGGGAGGGAGAAACGGTGTATGGAGAGCGTCATGACTACTTCGGAGAGGGACAACTTGGTCTCTTCCTTCCTGGAGATCGCCGTCGGCCAAACCGTGGACACCGCGACTCAGTTCCTGCAGGTTATTTGGGTTCTCCTCTCCCTTTCTCTGTATAATTTTGTTTTCTTCTCCGCTTGGATTTTTTTTTTGTGTGCTAGTTCCATCCTCGATGAACTTGAAGGTAGTATTCAGCGTTCCCTCTCTGCTTCAGGCTCTATATACGTTCTATGATCGATAATTTTTCGGATCGGATCGTCTATGTGCTTACAATATCGTATAATTTAACTTATTTTACGTTTTATTTACGATATTTTCCTGGTTACTCTCTGCTAACAGGAATGTGTGTTCTTGTCGATGTTACAGGCCACAAGTTGGAAGCTCGATGAAGCTCTCCAGTTGTTCTATGTCGGGAATGAAGGCGTTGGGGTACCAGCGTTACCGATACCGGTTTCTCCAACTTTCGAGGACACTGGGTGTGTATCTCTCCCTTTCCGTCTGAACATATTGTTTGGTCATTTACCCTTCCGGTGGCCCTTTCAGCGACAGGGAAAGCGTTATCGCCGATGAAAATGCGGTCGCTCAGGTCTTGGATGACGATGGTGTACGTCCTCCTTTGCCAGTGAAGAGGGAGGTTCTCTATGATGATGCCTCTTTCCATAGGTACGTTTGTTGTTCCTCTTTTTCCTATGAAAACGGGTGTTTGCTTGACAGTTCCCAAGGGGAAAACCATTCTGCACGGCCAATCTAGAGAACTCTTCATGAGAATTATCTTGTTATATTTATGAATTACGGTTTCTGATCATCTTCCGAAGGAAATACTTAATATGGTTGCCTTCTGATGGCTGTTGCGGGGATGTTAGCCTGCAAGCTTGGATATATATCTAATTTCGTCTATATTATGTATATGAACCCTTTTGGGAGGTCACACAAAAACAAGAAAGCAAAAACATTTGTAGGTTAATTGTTTAGGGGCATGTGCATCGATTTTCTGTGGTGTACACGTTGAATGATATATTCATTCTCAGAACCCTTTGTTAAGAGAACGTACTCTACTTTAAGAGTCTTACTTATTTGACTTGAATTGACCTTGGTCAATCCAACTGCGTTTCAAGTGGCATACTTTTGGAAATCAAGGTCATCTTTGTGAGAGCTGGGTTGACATAGAATTCTGATAGTTCATGTTTTCTTAAAGCTAATATGAATGCATTGCGAATAAATTCATACATTATTCCCACAAATATTTCCACTCATGGTTTTTTAGAGTTATTTCTGTAACAGGCGATCGTTGTCCAAAATGTGGACTCTAAATCTCCCTCTAGGGACGGCTTTTGCACATAATATAAACTAGTTCTGGATAAAGTATGCCATGGATCATTAGCTTTGAATAGTTTTACATGTTAATGGACAAGCTGATAATACGACATGTTCAGACTAACTCTGTAATTCACAGTAATATCTTAAAAAATTATCAGCTTTTGAATTGATTTGTTTCTTGAAGTCACATAGTATAATTTAGTCAATTTGGGCTAAGTTCTCTGTCACAAGGAAACTGAGTCTACTTATTGACTATGACTAGAGGAAGGAAAATGGATGATGCATGGATAACAGATATAGAAAGAGCCATTCCCATCTCTATGAAGGGGCTTTCTTTTTTAAGTGATTGATAAATGTTGCCGTCAACAATGCAGAAGCCAAAGCATCATTGTAGAACAAATCCCATACTGCAGGATAAGCCATACTGGATACTACTTTTTCACCAGCCCCTGCTTTAAAATAATTGTGTTCATCAATTTTAATTTTTTACAGCTTATCAGGATGTCAACTTTTTTCTTTATTTTTGTTTATCTTGTATCATTCTTTGTCCATTTTCATTTTTCATTCTGAGATTTCGTCCGCTTTCTGTGATTTCATTTTTTGGAGGTAAAGTAACCATGTTTGTTTTATGGATTGTAGACTCCATCCTACTTCGGTTGTTGCTTTTCGGAATTTTGAGGAGGAGTCCAAACGTCCTGGAGTTTGGGAAGCTGGTCAAAGTGCCGCATCGTCAGCTGCTAGCTCTAGAGATAATCTTGCCTCCTTATATCGTCCACCTTTTGCTTTGATGCATCATGGGCCGTTTGATAAGGTTTTTCGACTTTTCTATTATCATATTGTGTTACATCTTCTTGTCTTTGAGTTATCAAGGGCATGCTTTTGATTTTTTTGTGGGAACTGCATGTAGTGGCCTGGTCTTTGCCACTACCTATGATAATTTATAAATCGGCCCTTATACCTTAAGAGCATTACCAATTACTCCGTCTGGGCTCTTTCTGATTTACTGTTTCGATAGTGTCCTTACCATTGTTATATATAGTACTCCATCCACATCACTCACAATTTAGAGCATTGTCCACCGCAATTTCTTATCAAGGTTGAGTTGCCAAACCGAAACCTATGCCTTTAAGTACATCCTCTATTCTATCAGGTGTTCTCAAATGTTATCTGAGACTAGCCTGAGTTTTTACCACATTTTCCTGGAGAAAACGCAATACAAAATAGTTTATCATTATTTAGGTATCCCCTTATGCTTATATTTTCTACATTCTCTAACATTGCTCGAAAGAGCACTTAAGTTAAGAAATGCTTGTGGCATTTTTACCACATCCATAAAGGCGCCGTGAATATGTTTATTACCACATTAATGTGCAACCATTGTTTACTGACGTTACCCCAAAAAACACTTGACACTTAATTATAAGAATATCATAGTAAAGACTTGAAAATTGGCAAGATCCATATACAAACAGAACCACTGGCGTAGGAGGAAGATGTGTAGTCCAAAAGAGAGAGATGGCAGTTTACTTCCTGGGTTTTGTGGTTAATGTTTTATTATGATATTTTATTGGTAAAGTATCGGGATATCACATTCATTGATCATATTTTCTCAATCCTGTGACAGTCTAATACTGTGTTAATAATAGATATGTAATACATGGATAATTAGATCGTTTGTTCGAGAATAATGCATTCGTTTTTCTTACTCTCGATGAATAAATTATAAATAGTATCCTTATCCAATCCCAAAAACTTAGAGAAAATCATATCTTTATCCTTATAATATTCGAAATAAATACTATTTAAAATGAGCATACTCGTTTTTCTTACTCTGCATGGATAGCATGCAACTATTACCCCCATCCAAACCTAAAAGACTTGCTAGTTGTATCTTTGTCCTTCTGATTTTCGAAATGAATGACACTGATCCATGTGGGTCTATATTTGGAATATCATCCATTTCAGAAAACAGGGCGGCATATGTTTAACTCTACAGGCTTCCATTACATTTATTTCTAAGCTGTACATTGATTCTCTTGTTTCAATCTTTCTTAAGTCCAATGTGGAGCCAAGGATGTACAGTTTTGGCCATTGGTTGTTTGAGTTACTTGGAACCTCACTTGTTTATGCTGCTGCTTCTGACCAGACTGGTTGCATTGTCGGGTCTCCATGAATGATATAGCCTGCCTCCTTAGCTTGCCACTTCTAGGCCTGCATACTGCTCTCAGAAAGGCTAGGATGAGCCAAATGAAAGTCAACTTTTGTCCTCTGCTATATCCTATTCACTTCTGAGATAGGCGATTTTTGTTGTATTTCATGGTATGTACTCCCAATTACAGAGATATGCACAATCAATATCCGTATGTTCCCCTGATTTTGCACAATCAATCTCAAGGTATCTCTTCAGTGGGCCCGTGTCCAGTGTGACAATGATTACTTTTATGCTTTCACCATATCTGTCATATTACAAACTTTTGAGTCGTGGTCTTCTTTTTTGAAACCAACCTTCTCTTCCTCTATCAATCTTTCACAACTTGATTATTTCCCTTTTTAGAATGAGTGTGTTTCTGTACGAATGTGTGCTCCTCATGTGTTCTTGTTGTCATATTTTCAGGTACTTGCCTGACTCACTTGTCAGTGTCGACCCTTGACCCCTGAAACCATCTGTCCATAACCCATTTATGATCTACTATTTTGAAATTTTTCCACGACAGTTAGATTCTGGAGGGTTATAGTCATCAAAATCCCCTTGATTCTCTCTTTAATATCGTGTCCTAGTGTCGTATTTGAATTTTCTCCTGTCATGTTGATTGACACAGGTGAAGATTGATGCCTCACTTCAGGACAAGTGGCTTTTGGTCAACCTGCAATCAGCGGATGAATTCAGTTCACATATGGTAATAATTTTCTAACTTTTTGTCCTTTGACAGTTTGTTTCAATTGATGATAGTGATGTAGGTTTTTTCTTATTTTGTGAAGCTGAACCGTGATACATGGTCAAATGAAGCTGTGGCACAAACAATTCGCTCTAATTTCATTTTTTGGCAGGTTAGTGTATTCCTTGGACTTAGGTTAGTGTATTGTTTTCTCCTTTTACTTTTGGACCGTGGGATGATGTATTTCGGGACGTTCGTTGGCTTCTTTCCCCACTTATGTACCAAACCAAACCCTATCATTCTCCCCCTTCACCCTCTCTCTCTCTCTCTCTCTCTCTCTCGCTCTCGCTCTCTCTCGCTCGCACACACATCCGTGCTCATTCACTCACTCAGTCACACGCACACCTATCATCCGACTAGGAAAAGCATTTGTGGTGGCATCCCACCATAATTGTTGAAGGATTTACAGGTGTGTCGGGATGGTGCAACTGGATTCAATTGTGGGTAACAAATGGTGGTCATGTATCTCTCACTTATGCCAGCTGATCTTGACTTAAATGCATTTGCCAGCTGTAAATTTTGGGAGCTGACACCAAGTGCGCTCGGTCATCTAAACCACAGCTCTTTTCTAATTTACCTGGGTTTTGATTGAAGCCCATGCTTAGGGTAGCTGTTATTAGCTCTGTATGATGTTCTCTTGGGATTCACTGACGTGGACTTGTTTCCAATGATGTTAATTCTTTAAATTTGAGTTTACTTTGTTAGTTATCTATCACTCTTAAATGTAGTCGGGCTTGGGTCATTTGAATCAACACATCTTGAGGACTTCACACACAACCCCCCTGTTTATTACCTGGTCAAATTATGTATAAATGTAAAGATCAGTTGCCTGCCTCACGTTACCTGGGCAGATGCACGGAGTGCCAGATTAGGATGTATCATCAGGATTGTGGTGTAATAAAAGTTAACTGTTGGATTGTCATTGAATGGCATATGCCATTTGTGTGCGACAATCGCTTTGCATGATCAAATGATGCCGTCATCGTATATTATATCTCATATAAATATTCTGTATTTGTACCTCACTAAAAGTTTTTTTTTTTTTAACAAATTGACTAATGCATTATATTTTCATTATTTTCTTCATAATGTATTTATACTAAAAATATTCTTACGATGGTATTCTTAATGATATTAAATTTCTTTTTTATAGCTTAGTGAGAATAATTCAAGTCACTTTGGGAGATTTTTTTAATCGTATGGTGCCGATGTCATGTAAACGCATCATACTGTGTTTTGTGTCTTGCTTGATTATCAGTTGACTTAGAATAAATTTTAAATTTATCAAAATTAGGTCTCACCTAGGCATTTAGACGGTGTTGTATACTGATAAATCAATCCTACTTGTTGAAAGTCACATGTAAAGCGTCAAAGCAATGGTGAGCGAATCCTCAAAACTAAGGGAACGTTTCGGGCATCACTTTGCTGATTTGGGGTGTGCAAAACTAAGCTGAACGAACGATAAGTGGATATTGTGCTTGGCTTTAGATGACATGTTGGTGTTGTCTCGATCAATTTCTGTGTTACAAGCTGTTTCATCAAGTAGGATTTATAAATTACTAGAAAACATACGCCATTTGTGCATTCAATTACTAGATGGGTTTATAAAAAATCATGATTACTGTGTTACAAGTTTTTTCATCAAAAAACATCATCGGCTATCTCATGCTGCTTTAAAAAATTATTCCTGGTAAAGAAAAAAACCGAAAGTGCACTCATTTACTGAGAAAAGGAAAAAAAATGGCATTTGATATGCAATAGCTGGGACATTTAAATAAGAAGAATGTTTTATTTTCGTTTTTTTTACTGTGAAAATGTGATCATCGAATGAATTTGTATTCCCTGTACCTTGATAAATATCATTTTTATCCTAAAATGAAGAAGTTTGAGAGAAAAGTGTGATATTTTTGCCTCAACTCTGGGTTTTATTTTCTCATTTAGAGTGGGTTGTCAAACTTTGATTTGGGGCACTCACCCAACTTGTGCCAATAAATCGGCTCCTTTTCTGACCTTTAATCGCCCAAGTTGTCATAAATTTTTATCCTTCTACTCTGCTATTGCAACAATCATGTCTACCATTCAATTGATGTTTACTGTGGATGAGGGTCTCTCTGCATTCTTTTTGGAGACCAACTTGTTTTATGGTAATAATCTAAAGATTCCGGCCGGCCCCTAATTGTCTCCAAGAGTAGGCTTGTGGCATAGATGACTTTAGTACCAACTTCAAATGCTTCTGTTCCAGTTGTGTACTGCGTGTATTAGTTTATTGATTATGTGCTACGCTTTGTGCTCTAATGGTATGCATCAAAAGCAGAAGATTTGGCATGGAAACTCATACATTGGATTCGAATTTATTTACTGGCTCCGGATAGGTCGACTACCGAGTTATTTGTGCTTACGTGAATGACCATCATAGGTATATCATGACAGTAGTGAGGGGAAGAAGGTATGCACCTACTATAATTTGGTCAAGATGCCCGCAATTCTCGTGGTAGATCCAATCACTGGGCAGAAGATCCGTGGATGGCAAGGCATGATCCAGCCAGATCGTCTGCTAGAGGTAAAATCTGGTGCATACCTTCTGTTCTGCATTTTTCTAGAACAGTTGTTGTATTGTTAATGAGGGTGCTCGAGCGGTTTCTTTCTCTTCCCAAGTTGGAAATGTGAAGGATTTTGTTTTGATCCAGGATCTGCTACCTTTCATGGATAGAGGTCCACAGGAGCATCATGTTGCCCTCCCTCACAAGCGTCCGAGAGAAAGTGCTGAGAGTTTGAAGCACACTGCGGCAGGTATTCGATCGTCTTGCCCGGTGGACTTTATCTTTCTTCTTAATGATTGCCCTTTTTTCATTGAGATTTTCAATGCTCACTGGTCATATATTGACGATAAAAACAAGTTTTTTACTTTCATTTGGCTGATTCATGAATCTTGCTTCGATATTGGCTGAGGTTGTGTATCTGTTTGATGATGTATGATGTAGCCTATTTGACTTCTTTCCTCAAAAAAAATTCTTCTTGGAGATTTGATGCTGAATGGGAATAAATCGACGATGAAAACATATTTAGTCAAACACTAGTTTAGTCAATGCGAATGATTAGTCAACCCCAGATCTCGCTTTCCTGTTCCAAGCATTCTCTCTGCAATTTAGCATCTAAAATGGCGTTGGCTCAATCTTCTCCTCTGCAGATTCGACCCTGAAAGAAGGTGGCGGGGAGGCCTTGCCGCCGCCAGCGCCTTCTCCCCTGAACGACAACAAAGACCTCGCTGGTTCGAGCTCTCCCGGCGGCGAAGAACCCAAATCCGGCGAGAAGACGGCACCGGCCAGCAGCTCAACTGAGAAGCCCGTCTACCCGCCGCTCCCTGAAGAACCCCAGGCCGAGAGAGAGCTACTCTGCAGGGTCGGAATCCGCCTCCCCGATGGACGGCGAATTCAGCGGAATTTTCTTCTCACCGATCCGATACAGGTAGAGATCGTCGATCCATCCCCTCGTGTGATCGGCCTCCCCGAAACCCTAATTTCCGTGGGAAAAACCCGTTGCTTGCCCTCTCGCAGCTGCTGTGGTCCTTCTGCGCCTCTCAACTGGAGGAGGGACGAAGCCGCCCGTTCAAGTTCACTCAGGCCATCCCGGGGGCGTCGAGGAGCGTTGCGTACGGGGACGATCTGAGTTTCGCAGAGTCTGGCCTCTCGAACTCTATGATCTCTCTCGCCTGGGAATAGAGCTTCCGGCATGAACGAACGAACACGAAGGGGCTTTGCTTGGCTTCGCCGGCTCTCTCCTTCCTCTGTATCTCGTCTCTCTGCGTAGCTGGACGCCGAACCAAACCTTGCTTCAAAAATCATGTGAGATTTTTCAATTAACTTGTACAGTGAGCTTCAGATTCCGCAGCCGGGTCTCATTGACTGACCCAATGATTTGGAGAGAGAGAGAGAGAGAGAGAGAGAGGGAGAGAGAAAAAGAGAGCTGGAGAGCTTCTGTACTCTGCCACTAACTCACCGGGGCGGCGACAAAGCGCAGAGGGAGAGTGTAGTGAAAGCTGCCACCGGAGAGGGCTGCACAGCTGCAGCTAGAGATCGTCGGCCATAGCTTTTGGTCAAATGATTCTAGAATTGATTCAGGCAGAAAGGCTGAAGAGCACGACTGATTGATTACTCACGTCGAGTCAACCTTCTCTGAGAAAGCATACACGACTTAGCTGGAGGTTCGTTCCCTCTTCGCACTTGGAAAACGACAGTAGAGAGAGAAAACGAGCGAGGGTCCTTACTCGACCATGTATAGCTTAGCTGCTCATGCAACTAAAACATGTTTGAGAGAGAGAGAGAGTAGTTTGGGGGTTCTGTCGTGTGAAGTAAGAATTCCCGAAGAGCAGGAGCTCCATCGAATGAACTGCTACATCCCCATGCGGGCAACCCACACCATGGTCCTCTCCCCCCCTTCTCCTGGGTCCGCCCCGGGAGACAGACAGCCGCAAATGCAGGCATGACCTCATCGCCTGATTTCACCACCCCCACCGGCGGAAGAACCACTGGAAACCCAGAACCAGAACAGCCGGAAAACCCACCCCATGCCGACCCCTCTCTCTCTCTAGACTCGAGCGGAGCGAATATAGTCCCTTCCCAGCAGTGCATCGGGGAGGGCTCCTGTCAGGGCAACCGTCAGCCATGCGATCCAGCATCGGGATCCTTAGTTGCCCCCTTCCTTCATCCCCGGCTCTGCTGGGCTCGACAGTCCCGTCCCGATCAGCCGCGCGGAGAGATGGATAGATCAGATCATCGCTGCCATCCCGCCAGCGTCGTCCGGCCCCCTGCGCGCAGTCGCACGTGTTCTCTTCAATTCCAGCACGCACGCCCATTACTCCGCTGATAATCTAAGTTAAAAACAGCGGTAAATAAATGCGCCAAAGAAAAATCTCCTCCCCCCCCCCCCCTTCCCCCCCACACGGGGCTCCGCTGCCCCGCCTCTGTACATCTGGTCTGCTCTTCTCACGGCTGGGTCCCACCCCACTCACATAATCTCTCTATTAGGCACATTTAATGGCGGATAGAGAGAGAGAGAGGGGGGGGGAGAGGGTAGGAGGAGCATTAACTTCTGATGGTTGGAGAAAACCGGAGCTGGAATTTGACCAGGGCTTTGACCAAGGAGGCAGCAGGGGCCTAGGCCGACATGTGATGTCAGAGAAGGCATTTGGCTGGCCGATGGCAAGACCGCCGGCGGGACAACGCGGGCGCAAAATAAAAATACCCGAAGACCGAATGCGAAGGGAGTCCCGTCACCATCCCAACCCGCACACCGCTGAGATTGGGGCCCGCGAATATAAATAAAATCGTCATCATATGAATGAGGGTCAGTAAACGTGGCAGAATGTAAGAATTGGAGAAGTGATATTCCGGGACGTGGCGAGACTAGCGGCCTCGTCAGAGAGGATCCTCCCCCTCTCCGTCGTCGGATCGTCTGGCAGAGAAAGTGACAAAGCGGCGGGGTAGCCGACAAGCGACGGGAGGTCCGGTCCCTTTCGTCGGATCGTCCGGAGAGGGATGCCTGCCACCGTCTCGGGATTCGGGGTTTTAGAGCGGAGCTGGACGGGGGTGACGTCTGGGAAAGAGGGGGTGGAAATAGGTGGACTTTTTGTCGTCTTGGTTGGGTACGTTTCTTTGACCGTTTCCGTGCTGGATGGAGACTTACTGTAATCCCCACCCGGGGGGACTTGAAACCTCTGCGCCATGTACTGCTACTGCTTTGGTCGATGGCACAGCTCGTCGTGGGGCTTCTTCATTCAGATATCTGCTGGTCCAACAGGAAATCATAGATAATAATGGTGGAGAAGGTCCGAGACGATCATTGCCCCGCTCGAGCTCCTCATCTCGATAACTCGTTCCGGCGGTCGGAGACGAGGGCGTGGACGGCACCGGCGAGGTTGTCGACGGCGGTGATGAGGCCGGCCATCCCCTGACGGTTCATCTCCGTGCGGTCCTCCTCGGCGCGCAAGCGCCTCTCCTCCAGGTCCAGCAGTTCCCGGTGGCGCTTGCTCCTCCTGTCTTCGCACGCCAGCAGCGCCCGCGCGAGCACCGACGCGCCGCGGACGACGCTCGCGCCCAGGTTCCGGACCTTCCGGCGTTTCGCGTCGGAGTCCTCGCGCTCGCTGGCCTCGGTGCCCTCCGACGAGCTCGACAACTCTGATGGATCGCAAGCCGATCGAACGATGGGGGGTTATTTATTATAACAGCAGAACCGCCATTAAACACGCTAAAGCTGTCGAGGGTCGAGTAGCTCAATGGAATCCGCTCGGCCTTCGGCGAGGGAATATGGATCTTCGGACGTGATCCGACCAGTCTGTCCTCTCGCGGAAGCTCGCCGTTGACCGGGTTCCGAGGCCGAAAGGCGTGAGGTGAAGGAAAAAGCTCGCATTTCGGAGATGAAACTGGAAACATGACAGCCGCGAAAACAAGAGGGGTGGGTAGAAAGCAGATTGTCGAGAGCGATGTCGTCCAAGGGTAGAAAACGAGGGAGGAACGGGGGAACGAGCGCGAAGCTGGCTGAACCCAGAGAAATCCTCACGGCTGTCAGCTACCTCGGCTTTCATATAAGAATCTCACCAGAGAAAAACTGCACTTTTGCCAAATTTTCTTCATGTTCTTGACGAGATTCCAACGTGTGCGCCGCAGGGAACAGAAAAGGAAACGAAGAAAAGGGAGATATTTGACGTCGGAGAATATGGCATTGGAGATGACTGTTTTGCGGCGGCAGATTACCGGAGATTGACGGCTGTCGGTGCGGCTCCTGCTGCTGCAGAGGCGGTGGAGGCGGCGGCGCGGCTGGCGTTGCAATCGGTTGCAGGGATTCGTGAGCTGCCGCCGGCACCACCGTGAGAGGAGGGGGACGAGGAGTGAGGGTGATGGCATTTGAAACGCTCGCTTTGTTGGCGTTCCTCCGACTGAGGACGTCGGTGAGCGCTTCGAAGACCTCTTGGACGAGGTTGGAAGGGAGATTCCTCTCCTTGCGCTCGTGCTTCTCCATGATCCAGTAGGAAGAGGCCACGTCGTCATTGCTTCCCTTCTTGTCGTCCACCTTGTCGGAGGACGACGATGGGCACCTCCTGGCCTCGTAGTCGCGGACCTTCTTGTAGTCGCGGAGGAGATTGTCCCACTTGTCATTGCACTGGTTCTGACTCCGGAAACACTGGTGGTTCCAGCAGTAGTTCTCCACCCACTTCCACCGCTGCTCCGCCGACCGGCAGTTCTGCTGGCTCTGGTTCTGATGGAGCGTGGGCTTCGACTCGGCGCCGCCGCCGCGCGAGCGCCGCTCGTCGTCGAAGCGCTTGGCGGCGATGAGAACGAGGGTCTCGTGGAGGGTCCAATTACCCTTCCGGTACTCGCGTGGCAACAGAGCGGAGTTGGGCGATGCCGCGCCGGCGTTGGCATTGCTCGGGTGGGGGAGGAAGCCGGCGGGGGACGGCGGCGGATTGTGGTTGCGGTGGCGCTCGGGGACGAGGATCACGGCGGCGGAGCGGTGTTGGGGGCTGAGGTTTGCGTTTGAGGGGTGGTCGGACATTGTTTTCCGGGCATTTGAGATGCCCCCCCTTCCACCCCCCACACCCGGGAAAGAACAATATATTAATAATATTTACAGAGATCGGCAAAAGAAGGGAATGGCCGAGGGAGATGGAGAGGGGGTAGAAGAGAACAAAGGCTCTGGTCCGTTCCTTCTCCCTCTCGCAGAGAGGAGAGAGAGAGCGAGGGAGGGGGGGGGGGGATTTCCGTTCTCCTCACATTCTCATGTCTTCCCTTCTCTCCCACATTCACGGCTTATATGGAACGGGGCCTCTGCGCGTTGCTCGTGAACGGGGGCAGAGAAGCGGCCGCTCGGGACACTGGGGGTGGGTAGGATGCTCCGCCGGCCTAGTAAAGAACGCCCGACCGACGCTTCTGTGCTTCCCACGGGGGTCGCTTCACCTCAATGGCCGGAACTCTGCCCACATTAAATTATTCATTTTATAAGCTTTAGTCATCATAAGCCGCGCACATTTTCTGATGATAACTAATACCTATAATTTATTCCATCTATTTAATAATTGCCTTCCGTCGAATCCACTTGGTCCGATTTATTAACCCTCGGTCAAACACAGTCAGCACGTACTTCAGTCTCCCATATCTTCTTCTATCCTTTCATATTTTTGTCCGACTGGAGTTGACTTTAAACAAATTCGGTAAAAAAAAAAAACAAACCTATTTTGGGCGCACTTACGACTCTCTCTCTCTCCCTCTCCAAGTTAATTATTTAGTACCCATTTTATTTGCCACCTCTCTCAGCATTAGATGCCTTTCTGAGATATTTTATTAATCTTAATTGAGTTTTTTATTTCTCGAGGATTAATGAAAAAAATAAGGAGAATTTGGTCATTTCCGCTATTTGATCTGAGTCCAGTTCTTCATTGGCCATGCGTAACCATTTGGGGATGAGACGTGGAAGCAGGAAAGCTCACCCCCCGAGATCGCGCTTCTTGGGCCGGCGAAAGAGGCCCACACATGAAATTTGGGATCAGCAAGTTGCCTGAATTCTCCCTCCTCCTGGCGGACGACGGCCCAGTCAGGGCTTGCGGCAAATCATCACCGTCCGATGGGGGACCCACGTGATTATTTCTTCAAATACGGAATTAACGAATAATTAATATCTTATTACTCGTGAACACTACATCTCTTACTCGCTTTTTCTCCACCTTCTCTGCGCAGGGGAGCAACCGAAGTACAGAAGGGCGCATTTCCTCGTGCTTAAGATTTCTCTTCCTCCGGCTCGTCCTCCTCATCCGCGGTTCCCATGGCTGCAATGGGGGACAACAACATAAACGCCAAACTCGTAAGTCAGCCGTCGTCTCTCAGTGCCTCCCTGCGCGTCGATCGAATGTCTTTTTTTCTTCCCCTACGTCCATGATCCACAGTGATCGTCAACTTATAGTTTTTCATTGTTTTGCGGGGAAAATTTTTGCAGGTACTTCTGGGGGACATGGGTGCTGGTAAGTCTAGCCTCGTTCTACGGCTCGTGAAGGGCCAATTCCTCGAATTCCAGGTCTTTTTAACCTCGCTGGAGTTGATGATTTCCATTTCTCGCGCGGTCTCCTGCGTGTCGTGATCAGGACGAGGTGTGATATGGTGGAGTGATTATTTTCTAATTGCAGGAATCTACAATTGGAGCAGCGTTCTTCTCGCAGACATTGGCGGTGAATGACGCGACTGTGAAGTTTGAAATTTGGGACACAGATGGACAGGAGCGGTACCACAGCCTGGCACCCATGTACTACAGGGGGGCGGCTGCCGCCATCGTCGTTTACGACATTACTAGCGTGGTTTGACTGCCTTCTGTTCCTGAACATTCCTCATATTTGCACGAATTTTTCTTTGTATAATCGCATATTCTTATTTTCAGGATTCATTTACCCGAGCGAAGAAATGGGTTGAAGAGCTTCGGAAACAGGGTTAGTTTGCTGATATCGAGTCTACTTATGCGCACATTGCTTATATATTGGCCAGATCCAGTGTGGACGTCAAATATTATTTTGTCCAGTCTGTCTGTGTTTGCTGGTGCAGGTAATCCGAATTTGGTAATAGCTCTTGCCGGAAACAAAGCTGACTTGGAAGACAAAAGGAAAGTGTCAGCAGAGGCAAGTTAATTGAATGATTCCACGGCATTTTCCATTACCCTCTGAACACTAGATATGCATGCGTAAATGTTAACCTTGTTTGATATCACGAAACGAAGATTATGGTCGTTTCCATGAGGTATTAATAGTTTTAAAATGTTTAAATTTTGATGTAACGACAAATTACTTCATTAGTGAAACTTTACTATGATTGTACAAAGTTTTTCGTTATCTTTTGATAATTTCTCTCCTTCATCCTCGGTTTGAAGTTTTTACATCTTCTTTTTCATTTTCTCTCTGGTTACATCCATGTTTGTGTTCATTTGTGTTCATCTACCGTAACAATCATCTGTCTTCACTGACTTTATTTTGGAACAGAGATCTCTTGCAATCATTGTTTCTTACTGTACTAACTTAAGTTTTGCTCAACTATTTTATGGCCATTTTTTTCTTATATCCTGTGTTGCACGCTGCTTGCCTCAATAACAGTAGTTTTTTGCTGCATTGCTGCGCTTCTGAGTTGCACATTCTGTGTAATCTGTATCGGCTATATCCTCACGCAGCTATTAGTTATTGGATAGATGAAGCCTTTCTCCCGTGGTAGTGTAATCGTTGCCTCTTATATGTAAATTGAGTGTTACATGCACATCCGCGTTGTAAAATAGGCCTTTTGATACCTGAAAGATGATCCTATTCTGATGCGTTACTTTTTCTTCACAAGATTGCTGACGTTGTATAACGTCTGTCCCATGGGTGGAGGTGTCGCCCAGGCCAGCTCAGGAACAGGATGTACAAACCATCTGGGGTTGAAATGGTGGCTGGTGGGTTGATGTTGTTCTGCACTCCGTTGGATTTACCCATCTTGCTTATCAATGTAAAAAATGACTGTAACATTCTCCATTTTCACCAAAGAGACCCTTTTCCACGGTGACGATGAATCTCGTGCACGGAGCACTTTATAAACTTCGCGATTCAATTTTTTTTTAATATTGAATATACTTGGAGAAATGTTATTTAGTGGATAATCGCACAACACTTGCATCACGGCTGTCTGTGACTGAAGTAGGTGCGACTAGAGTGGGTTGGAGGTGCACATACTTCAATTATTGTTTTTCGATCAAGATTATAAGATGTGGTTTTGACTTATTGACCTTTCTCACTATGGTTCCTTTAGGAGAGGACATACACCTGAGGACATATTCTTGAAACGATTTATTTACTTTCTCTTCTCTCCAAGATTGCCCTCTACCAATGGAAGGATTTAATCCTCGTCTCTGTGTAATTCTTTTGCTCTTCCTTCAGAATCTTTGTATCTGTTCTGAACTCATTCCACTATCTTCATAGGATGGACAAATTTTTATTTTCCTATATTTTCCCACCGTCTATTGGACATAATATTATCCTTGGTGCTGCAGGAAGCGCGTGCATATGCAGAGGAGAATGCTCTTTTCTTCATTGAAACTTCTGCTAAAACTGCGATCAATGTGAATGACACATTTTATGAGATAGGTACCTTTCTGCTCTATTTCTTCTTATTCTGGTTGATGGACACTCTACCGATTAAGTTTCAAGTTCCTTTTTTCTTTGGAATTTTATTTTTGCCTCTACAGATCTGTCTGATCATATTCAGGTCCATGCACAATGAATTAAGTTTCCAATTTTAATAAATGGGTTAAGTAAAATATGCTAACTCTTAGTCTACTGCTCTTCTTTTCACTTGCCAGGGTAGCTTTTAAACAACTTTAAGCTGAACAAACATTTCTTTCTCAAAATAATGTTTCATGGGAAGAGAAATGATGGAATAGTTGGCGAAACAGAATGATGTAATTGTATGTGCTCGAAGTCTCAAGTTAGCTTCATTTGGACCCGAGTTACTACTTCTAAACATAGAAAATAGCCTCTCCTTTATAGACCACTCTACAAGACTGCGATACTAGTTAAATGATTAAATTAACGCAGCATTTTAATGTCATATTCATAGTAAATTTGAACATAGCGATTCCGTATTCAACAATCTAATGAATTGTGTCGGTGAATAGAATTATGAATTCAACAGTATCATCATACTTCTGCTAGGATACTCAAGAGCTTCTTTGAATGCTTTCTTTAGCGGCGTTCTTTACTTATTCCCCTTCTACCTTATGATGTTACTTCCACTGTTAAAAAATAATAACATTGCTTCATTTAACTTCGTCATGATCATACTCCTTTTCCTATTGATGGATGGATTAAGTACAAACAGAATGATTACCAGGGTCCCCATCAATCAGGATTTTACTACAACATCCTATCACATTTTCTTGCTTGACATGCTCAATCACCTTGTGTGATCATTGAGCTGCCCTAAACCTCTTTCTTTTCACCGTCCATAAAAAAAAAACGTAACTACATAAAGACCGTGCGTCAGATCTCAAGCTTGATTTTTTTAACAATCATGGCATTCTCAACAACAGCAGCAATCCAGCCATTGTTAGCTTACAAGATCCTCTGCAGGACTGACTCTTAAAATGCTTAAATGGTTCATTTATTCACTGTTTTACCTCGCGAAAAACTCTCACTCCATTACTAAACGATCTGGAGATTTTTTGCATGCGTGAAGCACGAAGGCTTCCTCGTGCTCAATCTGCGCAGAACCCGACGGGGATGGTTCTTGCAGACAGACCGGCGGCAAGGGTGGCAACTTCCGCGTGCTGTTCTTAGGTATTGCTGTCAGACTGCCCTGAATGCGCCGCTCAGATCGTGGAATTTGTTTGATATCTCGTGCCTTCATTAAATGCTTGGATTATATAGCATCGTAGCATGTTTTAGCCTGATTATTGACAATCTGGCAGATTATTTGCCGCTCTGTTCAAGTGCCAAGGATGAGATCTGGGCCTTGGTAGGATGCTCTTGGCGGATTCTGCCGCCCATCGCCAGACAGCTCCTGCACTGAAATCCCTATTCTTGCTCTTATAAGTGATTTGTTTGCTTGTACATTCCTCCGAGAGGTAGATCTCATGTCGTTCCTCCGTTCTTGTGGCGTTTGTTGCTGTTGTCCGTAGGAAGGAGGAAAAAAAATTCAAGATTTGATACATACGCGAATGATTTGAGACAGGTACTGATTAATAGTTCTAAAGGGTTGCTTGCGAGGAGTTAGAATTCAATTCGAATAATGGGTGAGATTATAAATTACTTTACGAGCACTAGTTCTTGTCAAATAATAGTTGGTAATCATAAGGGGCCCCGAATAGACATGAACAGCAAGTGCTTCTGGTCAATAAAATTTGAAAGGGTATATTATAATATTATTTGATGATCTACATTGTTGTCCAATGCCATATAATCTGAATGAAGCCACTCATATAATTGAACTGGTGGATGGCTAATTTCTAGTCGAGAGAGAGAGAGAGAGAGAGAGGTCCAGGAGGACGAAGCCTGCACTTTATAGTATTGAATAAAAATGTGTGATGATTTCACCCCCTCGCCTGTCTCAGCTTCTACTTCGTGAGGGTGTCCGACAACCCCACCAGACTGCCGTCTGCTTTAAGTCTCGGAGGGGATGATACGGGTGGACTACAGATAATATGTCTGAACTTTATGTTAATGGTTCCGACTGATATTTTTACGTTATTAATTAGTATAATTAGCAATTATGATCTGCCATACAGCACATGCAGCCTTATTCTCTCTCTCTCTCTCTCTCTCTCTCTCTCTCTCTCTCTCTCTGACAAGTGGATATAGGCGGGCTGTTCTATTTGGGCCAACAATGTGTATAATCTAACTTAATAAACTATTTATGGGCCTTTATTGGGCTGTATCCAGTCTGGCTCTGGTGAAAGGTATCTTCCATGAGGACGATCCTTTTAGACCGTGCACTCGTGACTGGGTTCCCATACGCCAGCACTGGGCCACTCCTTCCCCCCCCCCTTCCACCGCCAGAACGCCGCCTTTCAGTTGTTTCCACGTTTGCATGTCGGCAGGCACCAACATGCTGCAGCAGCCTCTTTGATTGATTGATTGGGAGAGAGAGAGAGAGAAGAAATACCCTAAACCGACCCTCTGGTAGCCACCGTCTGAGAGGCTGCCGGTGGGATCGAGTGGGTAGTTGAGAGGGAAGAAGAGGGCAGCAATGGGAAACATGCAGATCGAGTGTGCGTGGAGGAATCACTCTTCCTGCCCTTTACAAAGATATCCCCTCTGGTTCCTCCTGGCTTTTGTCTTCGCCTTTTATATAACAATAAACTTGCGATGATATCATGAAGTTTTATCGGATCTTTCCTTCTCTCGGTACGTCGAAGTTTTTCCTTCTGCCGGTTATGAATCTCGGTCTAACCGAGAACAGTAGCCAGTCTACTACTGATCGGCAGTTGCCGCATGGGGTACCCAGGCCTCCTCTTATCTATATAAAGCCACGGGCACGCCTGCTTCTCTGCTCACAACACCAGCGAGACTCCTTCCTTTCTTCTCACAGCTTCGCCCATGGCGAACCGCAGCCGTCTGCTCTCCGCTATCCTCCTCGTCATGCTCCTCGCTGTCACCGGTGATTCCCCGTTCATCTAGTTTATTAAAATTTCCTTACTTTCTTCTTTGTAGCTCTCCGGCTCCTTTCTCCCTCTACGTTCTCCGGTTCTTAAAGGTTTTTTTTCTCCTGGCTCTAACAGGGGAGATGATGGGAACGGCCAAACTGGCCGAGGCGAGGACATGCGAGTCTCAGAGCCACAGCTACAGGGGGCCCTGCGTGAGGGAGAGCAACTGCGCCAACATCTGCCGGACGGAGGGCTTCCCCGGGGGCAAATGCCGGGGTTTCCGCCGCCGCTGCTTCTGCATCAAGCACTGCTAGACCGCCTTCCGAAATGGCATCGCCGCCGCTCGCGCATGAACGGCTTTGTCCTCTGCCTTCTTCCCCGGCGCTGGGTGTCTTCTGTCTGGTCAGCGAATAAACGAGTCCTGTCTTTGTTTGCTAAGCGAAGCGTCGGAAAATAATGGAGAGCTCTGCGATGTCAACCTGTCCGTTGCATGCAGTAATAATCTTCTGTGCTGGCGTGGATGCTTCGTTCTTCAATTAATGAAAACGCGTTTCATACAGTTCGAGCTGATAGTAAATGGATGAGCAGATTTCAATCGGGAAAACCCATCATTAACTCAGATAAATGTGATGGTCACCAGTTGGAGGATTGAATGGTAGAACACTGCAGCTTATAATAGACCGAGAATCTGGTTGGACCCCGGTTTTGGAACAGTGGTTTGCGAGGCTCGGTTGACGCACGAGAGAGTAAAAATAGAAAGAGAGAGAGATAGAAATGATGATTTGACACTGTAGATGCCAATATAATGACCTAAACCTCTCTTAAGAAGAAGGGAAGGGAGAAGAGTTGATAGCGAACAATAGACTTGGGGTCTCATAGGAAAAGAGAGGGAGAGAGAGAGAGAGAGAGAGAGAGAGAGAGAGAGAGAGAGAGAGAGAGAGAGAGAGAGAGAGAGAGAGAGAGAGAGAGAGGGAGAACAAGGGAGAGATAACACAGGCATTTCGAGTGGCCCAACACTCTGAATGCTTCCTTTCTTCCCGCCTCTTCCGAAGAGCCTCTCCTCTTAATATGCCTTTTCGCCTGTGATCTTCATTGACATTCGTGTTGAGGACACAGATCCAATTCAAGCAAGTGCCGTAAAGGATCAAGAAGCCATTACGGCACCAGCTGTCATCCTAGACAAACTAGAGCAACATCTCCATAAAAGCAACAGCTCTTTTGCCCAATTTTATCACATGATTTCTCTATATAAACTGACCCTTACAATGTAACAAAAACAAACGATTCATTCTATTCTAGTCTTCTTGACACTCTTCTTTGTCTCGTCTTCGACCTCTATCTTTCTATACCCCAAGTCTTGTATCAGAGTTATACGCTCAACAACAACCAAAAGAATCCATGGCCTCCAACACAACACAACATGTGATCGCTACATCACCTTCAACAGCGGCAACCACGTTGATGCCTCTAGCAACATCTCCATCCATACGGTCAAATGTAATGGCCCTCCTCCCACTCAAGTTATCGAAGGATAACTATTTGTTGTGGAAGATGCAATTTAGCCTACTCTTGAGAAGCCAAGATCTCATTTCTATTATCGAGGACTCTCTTTTCCTTCAACAACGATCCTTGATACAACTGGAACAATCATTACGAATTCAGATTTTCTTTCTTGGGAAAAGAAAGATCAACTAGTGCTCATGTGGATAATTTTGTCGCTCACCAAAGCAATTTATCCACATCTAGTTGGTCACACTACTGCAAAAGTTGCTTGTGATGCATTAGCACAATTATTTGCATCTCGTGCCAAATCACGAATTCTTGAATTACACGCAAAGCTTCATAACACAAGACGTGGATCTACATCTATTCAGGAACTTGTGCAAAACATCAACATGATTACAGACGAGTTAGTCATCGCTGGACAACTGATTAATGAACAGGAGCTGATTATTATCATCTTGAGAGGACTAGGTCCTCAATATGCAGAATTCACTACAAGAATCACTACAAGAATAGATCTACTCACTCTAGAAGATGTTCTTGCACATTTGACCACTCATGAAGTAATCTTTGACTTCCACAATGTCCAAGATAATCAAGATCCAACACTCTATCCTTCAGCCAATTATGCCCAAACCTTTACAACTAGAGGACCTAGGCATGGATGCTATCAAAGTGATGGCTGAGGTGAACTAGGCCGAGGATGCAAACGCATACCAAGATGTCAAATCTGTATGCAATTTGGTCACCGCGGTCATGAATGTCGAGAACACTTCAACATAGGCTTTACTAGTGGAATACAATACAATCAATCATTGCAACTAGCCCAATCGATACGATCATATTGACCTTTTACACCACAAGCTTAGTCAACAGCATACCTTAACCAACACAAGCTTACATAGTCTACTTCATGGTACCTAGATAGTGGTGCTACCCACCATGTCACAGTCTAAGCCAACAATATTCTTGATTCTTTCATCTATCAAGGCTTCGACAAATTTCATATCGGTAATAGCACAAGTTTGAAAATTTTATCTAATGGCTCATTAAAAATCAAATCCAACTTATATCTATTAAAATTAAAATATGTTCTTCATGTCCTAGATATTACTGGTAATTTACTCTCAATTAGAAAACTTATCACTAATAATAATATATATGTCAAATTTGATCTCTTTTCTTGCTTGGTGAAGGATTGCATGACATGGCAAACACTTTTCAAACAAAAACTCAAGGATGATCTCTATCACATGTCAACCTTGAATAATGTTCCTATCTCTCTACTTGGTGAAAGAGAAGCACCTCTACTTTGACATGATCGATTAGGCCACCCAAATTTCGTATTCTTTGTAAAATCATAAATAAATATGGATCACCTACTACTCACCTTCCAAAACATTATTGGTGTGAATCTTGTTGTGTTTCAAAGAATCACAAATTATAATTTTCTACATCAAATAACTATGTATAAAAACCATTATAATTAATTAATTCTGATCTTCGGGGGTTGTCTTTTCAATCCTAAAAGATCAGAATATGAATATAAAAAACTATTAGTAGATATATGTGGCTATTTTCATGAAAATATAAAAGTGACGTATGTCTTTATTCAATTTCAATAACGAGTTAAACATTAATTTTCTTTTAAATTTATCTTTTCAATCTGATTGAGGGAGAGAATATCAAAGTATGTATAAACACAACTCAACATGACATCCGCATAGAATATATTGTCCACATATTCCTGAAGAAAATGGAATGAACAAACACAAACATAGACATCTTATTAAAATTGATCTCTTTACTTCATCATGCATTCATGTCTCAAAATTTTTGGGATATAGTAATAATTACATTTGCATACCTTATTAACATACTACATGTCAATTCTTAAACATAAATTTCTCTATGAAAAACTCTTTCATTCCCCTCCAAATTATACCTTTGTACTTTTGGTTATTTATGTTATCCTAATCATTGAACATATTCTCCTCATAAACTTATCAAAAGGTCTAATAGATACATCTTTCTTGACTACAACTCACTACATATTGGCTATCGATGTTTGTCATTAACTATATGAAATTTTTTCATCTCTTATCATGTTCTGTTTGATGAAAGTGTATGCTCATTTTCCTCCACATCCATATCTTTTTGTGACACCCAACAACTGTCTAATACTAGAAGAATATTATGACCCTTTCCATCTTTTTTTCAACACTCAAATTCTCCTCTACTAGTGATTCAAACTTAAGACTTATCCATCTCCTTTAGTCACCCAATTAGATTTGACCTCATCTCATCTTCAAAATTTTCCTCACCACTCTACTTCTGCCTTTAACATACAAGACTTACTTATTTTTGACGACGCTTCTTTGCTTGCTGCAAAACCTATCTCTACCAACTTAGAATGCCTCTCTCCTCCACACACTAGATCTATCCAAGACATTTATGCACAAACTACATCAATTAGTCATTTCACTACTAAGTATCATCTTCCTCTTTGTTTTCATACAAGACTTTTACCACCTTAGAACCCACTTGTTTTTCTCAAGCCTCTAAAAACCCATTATGAATGCAAGCTATGGGAACAAAATTTAATGCTCTTCTCTAGAACATAACTTGGTCTTTTATTCCTCGACAATTAAATATGAATGTAATCACCTTAAATATCATGTAGATGACTCAATTCAAAGACATAAAACTCAACTAGTTGCCAAAAGTTTTCGTCAACAGTCAGGTATTGACTTCAATGATATGTTTAGTCCAGTTATCAAAATCACCACAATAAGATTACTACTTAGTTTAGCTATTAGTAATCAATAGATTATACATCAGCTTGACATCTCAAATGTATTTCTTCATGGTCATTTAGATGGAATGGTAAATATGGAATAATGACCTAACTTTATTCATCCATCTTTTTTAAACTGTGTGTGTCACTTTAAAAAATCATTATATGATTTAAAACAAGCCTAGATAGCATGATTTAAGAAACTTACTACATATCTTCATACTCTTGGTTTCTTTAGCTCTAAAATTGATACTTCACCATATTATTAAACATCTTCCCTTTCCTAAATTTATATACTCATTTACGTTGATATTCTTATTATTAGATATGATCCAAAAGGCATCACTATTCTTATCTAGTCTTTAAAAACTACATTTGTCATCTGTGATGTTGGATAAAATCACTTCTTTCTTAGTATAAAACTCATTAAACATCATAATGGCTATATATGATCCCAATCAAGATATATTACATCTATTATTACAAAGACTAACATGGTTCTACGTCATCTCTTTTTGTTAATCCCTCTATTTCTTTCTATTGGTGTCCTAATTCTAAATCTCTAGACTAAAGTTTCTATTATTTCAGCTAAATCTTCAGACATTCTTGCCATCTCAGTGATATGTGATTTTATCTTTTAGTAAGTAGGAAGAATAGCTTATGAGGATCCTCTAGAATACACTAATGTATGAAGGACCTTCTTTCATCTTCGTCATGTTCTTCTTTAAAAAAAAGTGAGCAGTATGTCGTAGATAAAGCTTTGAAGAAAGGTTTCAAGGGCAACAAATAAGTACAAACAATGTGAGAATCATTACAAATGTCACTGATTTGATATGGACTTCTTCAAGAAGCTCATCGTCAAAGAGGGCATGCAAATATGTTAGATTCAAGCATAAGTAGATCCAGTAGATGGATTTGGCCTATCATGTATATATTTATCTTTTCTCCCTTCCAAATTTAATGAAATAATTTTCCCTCTCCATGATTTCTCTCTCTCTCATGTCTCTCCAACCTAACAACTAAGGTTTGTGGTTGTTCTTTTTCAACCAGATCATATGTCAAATGAGAAGGTTTTCGCATGTTCTAACGTGGTATCAAAGTCAACAAAGTGTGCTCATTCTTCACCCTAGCTACACTTGGAAGCTATTTTTCTTTACATGCCGAAAATTATCCATATTATACCTTAGTTCATGAATTGTTCTTACTTCTTCCTTGAGACCTATCATTGTTGAAATCAGACATTTGAAGCCATATTTTCATCCCCTTATGCTCATATAAGGGAAAGAATGGTCCTTACACCATTTAGGATACAAAATCTATGAGGATCTCTTCTAAGTCATCCAACATTACCTCTAGTTGGTCTCGTGACCTTGAATAAAGGACGAGAACACAACATTTGATGGTAGAGGAGTCATTTATATATATAAAAATATTGATAATGTCGTTATTATCTTCTAATTCTATATTAAAACACAAACTCTATTAAGAGTTTCCCAATATATCATATAGATTTAAATTTACTGGGAGGAATCTCTTATAATTGAGTGAGTTTGTAGAAGTGGTCTTAATAAGAAGGAAAAAAGTAGATCACTTTCTTGAATGAGGATCAACCTAAATAGATTTATATTTTAAAAAATGAAAGTAAGATGATGCGATTATAAAAACGTGGATGTGGAGTACGGTGCCATTGAAAGTCAATGTCAACTACTAATCTTGTCCTATAGTAAAAAATATTTAAGAATAAATAAATCAGACATTCTCAAAAAAGAAAGATGAAGTTGAAATATATAGAGTGATAAGTCAAGCATTTATTGTGACATAAGACAACAAAATAGTCTAAAAATATGTTAATAAATTGACAACTTTATGATAGAAAATTGATATTTATAACTCAATTACCATTGAGTGCCAAAAAGAAGAAATTATGTTCAAGAAATATATAGAGAATGATAAAATTTATTAACTTTTAAAGGGATCAAATTATGTATATGATGGAGGTGATTGTTATAATAAAAAATGAGGAGAGCTGCAGAAATCTTATCATATAACCACAACACACACAAAAGTAAGTATTTATGATTCAATCGAAACATAAAAAATCAACAGATGTACTTATTGTGTTGTCAATTTACGATTCAACCAAAACATAAATATTTTATTATGCACTTATTGCAGGAGACCAATGCACACTAGAAAGTGTTGTTACAAGCTACATGAGAGATCTTAAGTTGTTGGTTAAGCTCACTTGGTCTCCTCCCAAATGAAAGGTCAAACTCATTTGGATATCCTTAAGGAAAGGATTTAATGAACACCACTAGCTCTCAACATCTCAGGATGCCTATGTCCTTAAAGGTTAACATAAAATAAGAAATAGAGAGCATTAGAGTTGAACTTGAGAGGTTAAAGTCAATCATGACATTCAGTTTCAACACTTCTTTGACATGCTCTAGTGAGAAAACTTACTCTATTGTATTACAAGTTACATTTAATAGTTTTCTTATTCCTTTGCTACTGATTATACTACTTATTCTTCAAATTCTTTTTTATTATATAACTCTTGTCTAGGAAATAAAAAAGTGGACATAGCTAATGGATCATTAATTACCATTGCTGAAATTGGAGAAGTGAAATTATAACTTATTGACATCCTAAAAGATACTACATGTTCTCAAACTTTCTACTAACTTTATTTTTGTTAAACAATTAGTTAGAGATATATCTTATTAAGTGAAAATTGATAGTAATATTTGTGATGTTTATGATGAGGTAACATGCACGAAGATTAGATGTGTTGAAGATTAGAATATATTCTATTATTTTGGAGTATTGAACTATTATTTTTATGCTAACTAAGAGGATTACTTAAGACATAAAACCTTTATATTAGTT